TGTTGCAGTTAGAACCTCTTTCAACATTTTTTAATTGGAGCCAATTACAAGGCTCTACATTGACAAAGACAAACGGCCCACGCTCCCCAAACAAACACATCCATCGAACCGAAAACACGTTAAAGTTGCCGACATAAGCAACATCTTTCAACAACTCACTCTAATCCACTCAAATTCTGTAATCTGTTTACATTTGCAATCAACATGAAAACTGTAATCATTTTCTCTTAAGGCTCATGAGACCAGAGCTCCCTGTACAAAAGTTGCTGAATAGAATCACAATGTGACCAGGGATTCGACCTTCTTACCCATGGAACCTGACCTTACTTCGTTGTTTGTGCTAGCTCTGCACTTCTTGTGAACTACCAATACTGAGCCTTCTTCCTCTAGCCACGGCTTTCCACCAAGCGACCTGCAACTCTTTTTCTACAAGCTTGCGCTTCACCAGTTCCAGAGCAGCTTCCAGCTCTCTGATCTCTTCTTGCTGTCTTGCTTCCAGCACTTCGTGCAGCTTACTTGCCAATTCGTAAGGGTGGATGGCATTGGGGCACTCAGCATCCTCCTCCCCATACTCTGGATCAATCACTTCTTCCTCCTCTTCTTCTTCGGTCGAGGTCGTACTGTAGGATTTTGATGATCCTGTTTCATCCCTGTTCGTCACCTGTGTCATTAGGAAAACAAAAAACTTGCAACTGAATACATATTTTACACGAACAGGATTCAAACCGAGATCAAGCCACATACTAGGCAGTAGGCCCCACATCAAAATGGTACAAGTTCCATTTTTTTAACATTTCTCGACAATTCAAGTTATGTGAACGAGCTGGGGTTTTAACACTAACCACCATTACTGAATTAAGAGAAAGAGCTCAATTGGATGCCTACAAGTATTTCAACAAGTCAATTACTCTTACCCTCAGAAACTGAGATTGTTCCATCGACGTATCTCCATCCAATTGAAGCTGCAACAGTTCAAGCTCAGCTTCGAGCTCCGCCTCTAGCTGTTCCATGTCCTCTGCAAAATCCTCCCTTTTTGGGGTTTCACTACCTGAAACCACATTTGACGAGGAGGCAGAAGAAGCAGCAGCAGCTGGCAAGGCATACAAATTTGTGGGGAATTCTGCCTCGCACTCATCATCATCATCACCATCATCTTCTTCTACTACTACAGATTTTCTGATCGAGACTTCAAATAGAACATCATCGTCACCACCGTCTACTTCTACGCTCCGCCTCCGTTGTAATTGTTTGGTATTCTGTAGAATCGCCTCCATTTCCACCCGGGCAGCGTTGAACCTGTCCAGTTCGTTTCTCGTCGCCGCAACTAAGTACAGCAGATAAGCTCCAATCCCGGCATTAAAACAAGTCTCCTTCCTGCAACCCACTGGACAGAAAGAAAAGAAATTCAAATCCACTAGGGTTTCAAATTCAGAGCACTCGCAAAAGCTGACTCCTTTTAGAAAACAACTATTTTGAATTGTGATCTACCAAACTACATACCGTCATTGAGGCCATTGGTCAAACACCTGGGCTGCACACCCGCTTCTACTCTATTCCCCACCGTTTCTCTCCTGCAACACTTCCTCGAAATTCCCTTGAAATTCACCCGCCTTATCCAGGACATCCACCGGGCGACGAGACGGCACGGCGGCGACGAACAGTACGAAACCCGGCGACGATCTTCTTGGAAGAAACCTTCTTCGCCCATCAGTAAACTCCTCAGATCGCGATGTTTGGTGTGGGTTTCGAGAGACTTTTCGTCCGGTTCGTCGTCTTGAGGAAGGGCGAGGTAATCAGACATGCGCAGCTGAACTTGGCCGGCGGTTGTGGCGGCGGCCGGCAAGGAGGAATTATTTGGAGGAACTGAAGAGTCTGGATTTGTGGTGGTCATGAATGATGATCGAATTTCCACGACGGAGAAGTTAAAATTGAAAGAAGAATTTGGTTAGGCGAAGGAATTAATTGCAGAGATGTGAGAGATTTGGGGACCGGAGGAAGAAGAATTCTTTTATTTACTTTCTGGACTATAATTGAGGAGTTTGGAGGGAAATTTTTGAACTAATAATTTCCGGCTTGGAGAGGGACTCTAAAAAGAGGCGTGGTGTGGTGTGGTACTTTATTTTTTTTCTTCTTTTTCGGGTCAATTACATAATTAGTCCCTAGACGTTAGATTCATTTACTAAAGAAATTGGCTGTATAAACTTTGATGTTTTACGAACTAGTCACCGGAGTTTATGAAGCACACGACTAGGTTGTATTTATTTTTCATATCATATTCAAACAAGGTAAACCTATAAATTATTTAAAAATAAACCACAAATGACAATATCAGTTATTTTTTTTTCAAATTAGTGTTCCAGACTCATCCAAATCGATAACAATAAAAAGCATATATTCTCTGATTAAGTGGTTTTGCATATGATGCAAGTGGAGCTCGAGGTAAATAATACAATGAGCTTCGCATGAGATAGCTACGGACCAAAAACTTATCTTCCACAACACCTTCGTAGATCTCATATAACATTAAATAATAATTAAAATGAACGAAAACATCAATCGTTCTATTAGTTCTTCTCTTCCAAAGTAAGACTTCATAAAAAAAAGACAAAAAAGTTATTTCCAAAGTTTAGTGCATGATTTATTGGTGAATCAAAAGTTGAATGACCAATTGCACAATTGACCAAAGAATTCCCTTTTTTCTTTCATCTTCTAATCTCCACGCCCGGCCATTTTGCGTTTTATTGGGTGTTTGTTTGGTTTCTTTTGCATGGCTGTCTTGCTTGATAGAGACTGCCGCGCACGTATAGTATAATATGAGTTATCAGCCGGAGGAGGAGGAGAGAATGAATGAGGATGGCAGCAGCAGCAGCAGCAGGTAAGTTGAATTATTAAATATGTATTATGTTCCTTTGCCGAAACTGATTAAAAACGTTCTATCTGCAATATATTAAATACACGAGGATATGATTCTCATCTCTTGTTCGGTCATGGCAATCCCGTGACCTACCTGTACACGAAGAAGAAGAAGAGGTTGCTTTCACTTTGATTAATGATATTGGGGTGGGGCCGACAAACCAATTTCCGGCTATCGCTTACATTGACAAATTGTTGATTTAATTGCTGATCAATGATTTGAGAAAGATTATTAATGTCATGATAGGTGACCCTCTTCGATTTAGTATTGAGATTTGAGAGTTAATTGATAAATCAACTTAACTTGTACATGTATTCATTGTTTTTATTATCTGTCAAGCTATAAAAGAGATAAAGTATATGTAGATGTTGTTTGAATGATCGAATTTATAAGGTAATTTGGTCCAAGTGTCTTAAAATGAAGCAATTCGGTGAAATCGTCTCGTTTGACAACACAAAATGGGAATGTATCAATTGAATAAGACAATTTGAATTATCTCATTTTGTTTCCATTTAAATTGACAATAGAAGGATAATTATTGTGAAATGGTGTTGAGATGAAACAATTTTAAAATATAATTAAATTTAATTTAATCATTTGAAAAATTCATCACCTAAACCACCAACAGTTAATTTTTTTTTTTTTATAAATCATCAATCACCCACTGTTATTAAAATAACCAAAAACAGTATATATTTTTGGCCTAATACCAGAAAAGGGCCCATAGTTTAGAGTTTGGGTCACTTGTACCCCTAAGTTTTTACCGTGTCACTTATGTCCCAAAGTTTATAGTGCTCATGTCAATTTTGTCCTCCCTCATTTAGTTGACTGTTAGATTTGACGGTCAACCTAACGGCGGTCAACATTTTGTTGACTTTGTGTCAACATATCTGCCATGTCATTGACACATAAGAAAATAATATTTTTTAAAATTTAATTAAAAATAAAAAATATAAAATTCAGCTACTCCGCATTTTCTTTTTCTAGCCCAAATTAATAAATTCCAAATTTCAGCTACTCAGCAGCAACCCAGATTTCCCAGCCTTGGATTTCTCCTCTTCTTCCCTCAAAATTGCAGCTTTCGATTCATTCTCTTCCAATTTCTCCACTTTCTCCACTTTCTTCTTCTTCTTGCTACTACTACTGCTGCTCTTCTTCTTCTCCCCAGAACCAGGAAGACTCTGTTTCACCGTCGCCTTGTCGTTGCTTTCCGCGCCGCCGGGCAGGACATCGAAGCTGGAGCTCGACCGGCGGTTGGTGGAGTTGAGCCTGGGAGAGATTTGGAGGACATCGACCACCGGGTAGCTCCACCAATCGTCCACCCTCCTAAACGCCCTGATTCCTCCCCTGTTTCTACAAGCTGCCTCTAGAGGCGAGGCGGCTGATCACTGCAGGTCGGGCCATGAGCAGGGGAGGTAGCCGGAGCGGATCAAAATAGGAGGCCGAATCTAGATTTCTGGGTAGAAGCTCGAAGCTCGAATCGGGAATGGGAAAATTGAACATCGAAGGTCGAATCTCGTTCGTCGTCGATTCGAGCTCCGACTCCCTATTTCTCGTTCGCCGTCAATTCAAACATGCACGATAGGGAAATCGAGATGAGTAGAATTGGGTCGGATGGGGAAGAGGATGGGTTTGGAATTAAAATATGGGTCTGGGATTCACATGGAAGATGGGGAAAACCAATTTGAGTACCGGATCTGGAATCCAATTTTGGTATGAGGTTCAATTGAATATGCTTCCATGGATTCCTTGTTTTTAGGTTTTCGTCTGAGGAAGACGATGGTACGAACATGAAGGAATGGGGGCAAACGACAAAATCCTATTTTGGAATTTTTATTTTATCAAATTTTTATTAAAGTATATAATTTTTATTTTTAAGTATTAATTATTATTTACTTTATATTAGATGGTGTGGCAAAAAAAATCCACATCATATGCCACATCATCGGTAAAAATTTTGACTGTTGACTACTAACGGTCAAAGTTAACGGAAATTAAACTTTGGGACATAAGTGACACGGTAAAAACTTAGGGGTACAAGTGACCCAAACCCTAAACTATGGGCCCTTTTTTGGTATTAGGCCTATATTTTTTTGGTGTGATAAACCAACCAAAACCATTGATTTAAAATCCATATTATCGAGTATTATCAATTTTCCCTTCACTCGTATTTTGGTGCGCAATTTCCTTCATTCCTTCCCAGTTCCCCACACCCACCACTTTTGGCTTTACGTTTGTTCCGTTGCTCAACTACACGCCACTATCCTTTTCGTAACCAGTCCAGTCCCCCTTTCTTTTCTCCCCACAAAAATTCCTGAATCGCAGGACATTCCCGTCTTCAATCTCCATCTGACTGATTCCGCCTTCAGCGAATCCAGCAGCTCTCAACACGCCGGAAATTCCTACGCCGACTGGATTCCTCGCCATTCATTACAGAAAACCAGGTTTGATTCCTTCCCTTCCTAATTTCTCGCTACCCTATTCTTGAGCTACACCCTTCAACACCCTCCAAGAATCCGAGTTTTTCTCTCTGAGAAGGACAAACAAAGAGAGAGATAGAGAAAGAAAAGAACTCGATCGGCCTCTGTTAGCTCTGTTTGATGTTCTTCTCTCTAATAATTTGTGGACATGTTTTGGCATTATGGTTCCATTCCCATGATTTTCGGAGCCTATTGATTCGTGGGTCGTTGTCAAATTTCTGTCTTTCTTTCTTTCTCTGTTGTTGAGAGAACCTAGATAAATAAGATTATGGCGTCTGGTGGTCTGGTTTCCTCTTCCTCCGGGACCATGGGTTGCTCTCTTGTTCTGATTATGCTTGCTGTAATGGCATTTAGTAGGTGCATTATTTGTATGGCGACAGCAGTAGAAGAAAGGAGTTTACTGGAAACGGCAGAATTCACCCTCGACTCAGTGAGACAGTCTTTAACTGGCCAGGAAGACACCATTGTGTACAGGTTGATAGAGAGAGCCAAGTTTCCCTTGAATTCTCGACTCTATGATCAGAAATATGAGTTGGTCCCTGGATCTCCTGGCACTTTGATTCAATTCCTTTTCAAGCAAACTGAAATTGTTCAGGCCAAGGTAACAACGTCACTGTGATACTGAAAAGTACTGGTTTTCTCGAATTCACTGACGAGAGAGCCTTGTTATGTGTAACCAGGCTGGGAGGTACCTAAATCCGGAAGAAACCCCCTTCTTTCCTGAGAATCTTCCACCATCAGTGATTCAAGATCGCACATATCCTGTGGTAAGTTGACTGGCTCTAGGGTTACTCCATTTGTCTAGGTTTATATAGAGGCATTAATACACTGAGAGGGAAAGAAACTGACTACATGTCTGTGTTGCTTCAACATTAATCAATCAATGTGTATACAGTTCCTGCATCTCCCTGCTGCTTCTGTTAACGTGAACAACATCATTTGGGATGTCTACTTCAACAAATTCCTTCCGTTGTTAGTCAAACCAGGGGATGATGGTAATTATGCTGCAACTTCTGCTAGCGATATCGAGTTGTTACAGGTAACCGAGGACTCGATGTGTCTGCAGCAACACAAATGATCTGACTTGACTATCAGATTCTGGTTCGATGGTGCAACATTATGATATACAGTACTAATACAACTCTTTCATTACTGCTTCCTTGGCAGGCGCTCTCTAGGAGGATTCATTATGGGAAATTTGTGGCTGAAGTTAAGTACCGGGAAGCACCTCATGAATACGAGCCTCTAATTCGCGCCAAGGTATCTATTAAGAGGTTCATGCTATGGCTTGGGTTTAGGATACTTTCATGTCACAGACACGAAAGGATGATTCAGGTTTAGGTGGGCCTCAATCATAAATCATAGCTCAATGTGAACCTCTATTAGAATGAACCGATTCTTGACTACTTGAGTTATTGTGACGAACTAGTTACTAGCATTTGCACACTCAAAATTAGCATTTTTTGTCAAATGTAATTGCAGGACAGGAATGCTCTGATGAACTTGTTGACATTCAAGAAGCAAGAGGAGATGGTGATGAGAAGGGTTGAGAAGAAAGGGATGGTGTTTGGACAATATGTGAGCCTGAATGACACAGAAAGCACTGGCAAGTACAAGATTGATCCATCTCTTGTGTCTCAGCTCTATGAGAAGTGGGTGATGCCTCTAACGAAGGACGTCGAGGTCGAGTATCTGCTCAAGAGATTGGACGGAGAACAAAAGCAAGTGCCTTAAATATGATAATGCTATATGCCCTTGTAACAGAAGATCCCTATTGCTTTAGATATTCTTGAATGGTGTAGTATAATAGTACAAACCGACTGTTTCTTAACAAAATGCCTCCTCTCTGGGAAGTGACTTTAGGCCTTCTATTCTAGCAAGTGAGGAGACTAGTTGAGTTTCAATCAGATTGTATTAGAATACTTCCTACAAACTTCTATCTCATTGGTGTATTCTGAAAATATAAGAGAGTCGAAAAACATGAGAGGCAATCATGTTAAGACCAGCTAAATTCTCTGAGGTCCATGGGCTTAAGTTCGGCCCGACTCCCCTACTCGTGGCCCAATCGAACAACATCGAAAGCCCGGCTTCTTTTCTTTTCCTAATAATCCCGCGTCTTTTCAGTTGTAATTTGTTAAGCAATCTCTTTCTCTTCTCCCCTAATCACTCTACAACTCTTCGATATAGCGAGCCGGAACCGCCGCACGCCGCCGGCGCCGGTGTCTCCTTGTTCTCTTAGCGGTCTCCACTATCAGCACCAGAATTCCACCCAAAACGTTTCTTTACACCTTGTTCTTGATTTGATTTCAGTCCCCTTTATAAATTCCGAATATCTCTAACAACACTCTTTGTTTTCATCTACTATCATCACAGAATCTGAAAACAGGGAAACCACCGGAAAGAAGCAATGGCTGGTCCAATGGAGGACGCCGATCCCGATGTCGTAGAGATTTCCCCGCTCTCCCTCCCGCCTTCCCACTTTACCAGGAAGAGAAAACAGAAGCAGGTTGGGTTTCTTAATCAAAAAGAGATGGTTGTTTATTAGGAACTCTTAATAGCGATTGATGATTGGCCTCTTTCTGTTTCTGCAATACAAGCCGTAATGAAATTATGGGGACCTCTTTACTCTCTAGATCAGCTAACTCCTGAGCAACAATGCAGAACCCTAATAAAGAGAGTGGTGATGTTTGGAATATTGCCTATTAGGGTAGTCGAATTCTACTTTAGCTGGCAGTTTCTTTACTATCTCTTCAAATTGTCACTCATCTTTAATGCTGTACAGTACACTCCTTTAGCTTGAGGGAAATTTTAACCTGAGCTAACCTTTAATCTCTGCATGTTGTGCCCTTGGTTCCTTATGTCCTACAGTCGGTTGCAGAAGAATATGCATGCGGTTGAGTTACACGGATGTATGTTTTGCAATGTTGTTACTTGTTGTGGATGTTATTTGACAGCATCGAATAGATTTCTCCTCTTAAGTAACATGTTTTTGATTGTGATAATTTCTTTACAGGCTGTGCTCGCTGAGATCATAGATGTTGATGAGTACGATTCTCTCACTGATGCGGTGATCCTGGATGAGAACGCTCGCAGAAAAGGGAAAGGCAAAGCGATTGAGGATGAGAATGACGTGAAAGTTCAGGTATACAAGACACATATACCATCACCATATCATCATCATCTCCAAATCACCTCTATATGTAATCTGACTTGATTCTCAGGATGTAATCTATGTACCTCCTCGCTTCTGGAAGTCGACATCTACCCCTAATATGAAGAAGTGGACTTCTTCCCAGCACGGAGGGACTGCTCTAAAAGATTCACATGTTTCTGGTAGTGTATCGCCCCAAGACATTCTTGCCATTGGAAAAGAACCATTGGCTAGGAGTACCAGAAGCAAAACAGGCGGTAGTAAGGGACCGGTGGCTCCAAGTTCTGCACGTATGGTGCATTGAATATCTTCCTTTGTTATGTTCAACCATTGTGTCTTTCATTTCAAGATATGCAGAATAAGACTGAAAGTCAACCACTTATTGATTATCAATTTTCATGCTCTATACATGCCACTTGCAGGAGGGCAACCTGGAGTTCCAAGTGCTTTAAATGATGAAATCTTAAGGAAGTTGAAACTCTTCAAGCATTTTGATATCGTTGAAGGCCATTCAGACCATCAGTTTCAGTCTTCTTCATCAAAACAGGTGATTCTATGTAAATATTTACTTCTCTGGTTCTGTGAGAACACTTCGAATAGTTTGTTTTCGGGTGAAGATGATCGAAAAGGGATCCAACACGAGTCTCTTCTGCATGAAAGGGGAGGAACCAAAAAATATGTCCTTTCGTTCCCAAGTCTAGTTTTCAGATCTATCAAACCCAGTCTTCTTAGTTATAAACTTTTGAAGTTCATATGATGAATTTCTCCTTTGTTCTGCCAGACTGAGAAGAAGTGGGCAAAAAGAATTCAAGACGAGTGGAAAATTCTGGAGAAAGATTTGCCAGGCAAGCTTCATACTGTGTTTTTCCTTTCAGCATCCACGAATTCAGTTTCTGTTTCTTTTGGTAACTAATTGGTTCTATAACACCATTACTTAAATATGGTCTGTGAATATTTGTTGATGTAAACAGAAACCATATATGTGAGGGCCTACGAGTCAAGGATGGATCTAATGAGGGCTGTCATTGTTGGCGCAGACGGAACTCCTTACCACGATGGTCTGTTTTTCTTTGATATCTTCTTCCCTGCTAGCTATCCAAGTGTTCCACCGGTATGTAGTCTTCTATTCATGTTGTGGATCAAACCTTATTCCATTGCACCTCCTCTCACAACTCTTTGCCTTTTTTTTTTCCCCCCTTTTATCAGAAAGTCCATTACCATTCTGGTGGTCTTAGATTAAACCCAAACTTGTATGCAAACGGATATGTTTGTCTCAGCCTTCTTGGAACATGGCGTGGTAGCAACACCGAGAACTGGCAGCCTAGATTTTCAAATGTGATGCAGGTTCTGCTTTCTATACAAGCGTTGATATTGAATCAAAAGCCCTACTTTAATGAACCTGGCTGGGAACCGTCAAAGGGCACAACTACAGGTGAAATGATGTCCCTAGAGTACAATGAGAGGACATTGCTTTTATCGCTCAAGACAATGGGTTATTCAATGAGGAAGCCACCAAAAGTAAGTGTCTTTTGGAAATTGGCCTTTCCCTTAACTGTTGACTATTGAGTTACTTTGAACACTGGTTTGGTCTATTATATTATGGTTTTCAGATAGTTATTTTACATATCTAGACCTGGAATGAACCTGTGTGTTTTGGATCCATGTATGAACAACTCTAGACCTAGTCGAAAGACTTAAAACGATCTGGAAAAGGCCAAAAAAAAAAAAAGGCTTCATTTTCATCATTGTACAACTTTCTGCAGTTTACATCCACATAGCTCAATCAATGTTTGTGTCCATTGCAGCATTTCGAGGATTTCGTGATGGGCCATTTCCACAGCCGGGCAAAGGACATCACGGTGGCGTGCAAAGCATACATGTCCGGTGCTCAAGTCGGGTGTCTGCTGAAGGGCGGAATCCAGGATCTCGAAGAAGGCGACAAGACCTGCTCGCCAACGTTTAAGAGCTCCTTACCTGCACACATGGACATGCTGGTGAAAGCGTTTACTGAACTTGGAGTGAAGAACCTATGAAGGAGATCGGTTTAACTTTCTGATTGATCTTTTGATGAAGTTCACTCGATTTTTGTGGCGACAGAAAGCCTAACCATCAAGCTAGTTTGATGTAAGGTGTATTAGAGCACTCGTTGATCAAAGGTTACTCGATTTAAATCCATGTGAAGTAACTCTCGTTGTGAATGACTCTGTGTTGACATTGGTATATGGTCAATGTTACCATCAAGTTGCGTTGATCTTGTCGAATGTGCCATCTGACCATGTCAGCGTTTGTTACCAAGGCCCATGGGCTAAGGTCTTGCCACCGCCAGTTGTGTCCCTCCTTCTCTCCTTCTGGCCCAAGCGAATTGCAAAATTTAAAAGCCCAACCCGCTTCTTTAAACCCGGCCCAATTCAATTATTTAATGCGACCCACTCTTTCCGCGCCAGGTGATGTTTTTTCCTTTTTTTCTGAAGCCATCTTTGCGACTCCATGGCGTGATTGATCTTCTTTTTTTTGGTAAAAAGCAGGACGAAAGCGTCCTAGATCATCATATTAATAGAACGGGTCATGGTATTACCCATAACGTCATACAATAACCAGTGGTACAGGTGAGGGTCGCACACATCGAAATAATGGGTGCCAAAAGGAAGACAGTGACCCTTAGAAGCCAAAAAATCAGCAGAGTAGTTACACTCTCTAAAAACATGCTTCACTTCCACCTGCCAGTCACGAGTGAGTAGCTGCCCAATCTTGCTGGCAAACAAACCGTGCTGGTGATCATCATCCTGCCAATTCTTGATGATATTAATGGCTGTTTGAGAGTCAAGATTTAACTCTACAGCTCTGAATCCGAGCTGCCAAGCTCTTTCGAGCCCAACAGTCGCGCCCTTGAGCTCTGCACTTGTGATAGAGCAGACACCAAGGTTGCATGAGAAGGCATCTAAGCATCTACCAAATCTGTCTCTTATAAGACCACCTGCTGCAGCAGCAAGAGAATCCCCCAAAACCGAGCCATCAGTCTGAACTTGAACCCAACCTTCTCTTGGTGGTTTCCAACCGACTTGAAGATCCATCCGATGAGTGTTCGATGGGGGAGAGCACAAATCAGAATTCTGCTTAGCTTGTTCAGCAATTTTGAACCACGCCTTGATCCTGCAAATCAAACCGTCCTCCAAGTAGCTCTTACCATCCATAACCTCCTCATTTCGTTGTTTCCAAATCAGCCAGCAAATAAGGCCGAAGTCAACTCCTGTGTTTTCAGCTTTAATGTTACTGTTGATCCATGTTTTTTAGTAGCCATTGCGGCTACCTATATCTAAATTCTTCATTAGTTTTATTTTTTCCTTTTTTTTTAAATGACGGTCAAGATTAAATTAAGGATAGTTTGTGAATCAAAATATTATCACACCAGATTGATATAAAAATGCCGGATAGTTTTGATTTAAAATAGAATTGATATTAATATAACATATGTATGTTCAGTATAACGAGGTTGCTACCGGATCCGCCATAAAAATGCTATATGAGCAACTGGCCTATATATAATTGTGATAATAATTAGTTGGTGTCATTTTCCTTTCCTATCCTATGGAAGTTTTTCTTTTCCCCGCTTGGGTTTTGGTTTGGTGGTTGATGAGGGGTGGGATGAACAGTGTCAGGAATTTCATTTTCTAACATAAGCAAATTCACAACACATATGTTAATTATTTGGTTTTGATGGGTTAATTATAGGTGGTCAATATATGAAGCCCATGATTACTCAAACCCAATATGGGTTCAATGAGTGAAAATCCAATACTTAGTCACATTGAGTCTTATGTGAGCCCAACCCAAGCCCATGGTGAATAGTATATAAGGAGATTTAGAGGTTGTGGACTTGTGGTCCCCAATACACCAAGACCAATGCGAATGAATTTAATTAATCAGGTTGCTCCAATTATTTATTTTGTTGAAATGCTCTATAATACTTTTGAGTTCCGTGCAGATGTAACATAATAACATCCCAACCTTTTTTTTTGTTTTGTTTTGTCACATGATAGAAATCATAAAGATTCATTGAAAAACTTTGAGATAGATAGAAATCATCAAGATTTATTGAAATTTTAAAATCCAAATCAGAGATAGTAATCATCTAAGATTTATTGGTTGGGGGGGGGGGGGGGAAATAGCATTTCATATAACTCTTTCATGCAATTGATTTGCTCTGCACCAAAAACATTTTCATTGTATTGAAAAGTTGTCGGCCTGGACTGGACTGGACCGGGCGAACATATATAGAGTATTAGAGTATACATATACTGGAGCGTACAAGTTGAAATTTCAAGAAGAGTGAAATTAAGGAGAGCAACATTTTAAAAACCATACTCGCTTATTTATCGTCTTGCGCGCGCGTCGAATCGAATATACCGAGAGTGTCGGACCACAAACCAAGTTGCTGGCCGGTCACCTTTAATTGAATTCAATTCAGTTCTTCACATGCTTTCCATATGGAGCGCCGCCGAGAAGAATCGTGGAAGCCCAGGGACCACCACAAGTTCCTTGAGCTCTTGATTCTCAGGACAGTAGGAAGCCAAGCCGCCGCCGCCGAACTGCACCAAAAACACCGCCCTAGTAGTAGTGCTCCTCCTGATTCTACACAGCACTCGAAGGGGTCCTCCTTCATACGACGTCGGATTCATCAGGGGCGGAGGAGGCGAGTGATGGTTCCCGATGACGAAATCTCGGGCCCACGACTCCTTCACGCCGTACTCCTTCATCGCCCACACCTCGAGGGGACTTGTCGCCTCGTGGTCGGGAGGACCGGAGACCACCGCGGAGAGGCGGCCGGAGAGCTCCGCCAGGTGGGAGATAGTGTAGCGGTCCCGGCCCAAGCCCTCGAAGCATGTGGCCGGGAAAGCGATCTCACGGAACATTTCTTCCCTCAAATCGAACGAAACAATCTTCACTGCCCTGCTGCTCCCCTGTCCCACCAGACCCAGAGTGAGCCAGTGGAGAGCTGCAGTGTTGTTTACCAGCTGTAAGGTGGCTTCCGCTGGCCCTGGTTTCAGATTCCACACCGTCCTCCCCATCTCTCTCCACGCGCCGCCGACGGTCAGTACCTGAACCTGTCGGGACCGTACGTTCATGCAGCTTGATTGTAATTGTTGATCAAACCACGATTTAAGAAAAGAGGAAGGAATATACATATATAGAATACACAACTGATGTACGAGGAGGTATATATATATATATATATATATATATATGAGAATGAGATTAATAATTAATTGCAACTCGATCTCCGTTTATTGATACCAACTGATTCTTGATTTTTGTGATTAATAAGTCTTGTGTTTGAATCTTGATGACCCTGATTTGTTAAGCTCATGATATTCAGATATGTACAAACTTCACGCCTTCATATGAGTTCGATTTCGTTTGAAAGGACATGTTAGTATGTGGTAGAAAATCAACTCGATCTGAGTTTTTCTAATTTTCAAGCCAAGTTAAACCCAAAATGACATGGAAACTCGCATATTACAAAACCGACTCTAATCATACACACACGATAGTTCGTATGCAACCCGCGTCGCGCAAACTATCGATGACATATGGACAACTCTGAAAAAATTTCGAGAGCACGACCATAAAACACGACACAGGCAGACCGACAGACGAAATCAAATACTCTACTAGCTCCTTTGATTTATCCTCATAACTGTAGTACAATTCTGATGAACAGAGTTTTTTGTACTACCTTTTAATGAAAAACAATTTATAAATAAAAGAGTTCCTTCAAATTCCCTCTCTCTCTGCCGCAGCAGCACTACTAGTCCAAAAGATATCCCAAAATGAAACCAATTTCATTTTCCATGCTTGCTTTCTGCCGTCTATTCCAAAATCAATTATTCAATCAACACAAACAAACCCAAAATCCAAAGCATTCGATGCATTAATTAATTTAATTATAAACGCAACAACAAACAATTAAACGAGCGGACCGGACCGGACCGAACCTGGGAAGTCCAGACGAAGCCGAACATAGTGGGGCGGTTGTAGTAGAGGATTCGGACGATTTTGGGCGCCGAGGTGGTTGGATCGGGACCCAACCCCACCGCCGCGTGCAGTGGTTCGGGGAAGCCGGCGGCCGTGGGGGCCGGGGGCAACTGGATCTGGTGCCCCGTCAATGGGTTCCAGAGGCAAACCGGCGGGGCAGCAGCACTACTCCATGAAGAAGAAGAAGAAGAAGAAGAATTGGTATTATTCTCGGCTGCTGCATCGGAGTTGCATAATAACAAGAAGCCGTTGCAGGATCCAGCGGGGGCAAGTCTGGCCAAGTCCTGGTCGCCGCCGATCCTGAGTAGTGCGTTGGTGGTGTCGTCGGCGAGGACGAGGCGGTGGAGCTGGCCGCCGTGGGAGTGGAGGAGGATGGACGGGTCTCGGCGGCTTGCGTGGGCCAGATACAGGGGGCGGAGTCGAGGGTTTTCGGCTGCGGAGCGGAGGGATTTGGAGACCGATTTGAGTCGGATGAGACAAGAGATTGGTAGCCTGGAGAGTATCTCCAGCAATATTTCCAACGGCAGATTCTCCATTTGTTTTTGTTTAACATCATTCGCTTTGCTTCCTCGTTTTAAGCCCCCGTCATGCCCTCTACCTTAGCTAGCAGGAAATAATACAAAAATAAAAGCTTGCTTAGCATGTGCTAGCATTTTCACCGGTTTATTTTTTTATTTAAATTATGAATTGATATGAGTTCGGAATAAGATATCATGTGCCGTAAAAATTTCTAAATGAGTTAACTTCAAATTTCAAATTCTCTAAACTCGAGCTAGCTAGCTAGCTAGCTATAAGATTCATTTGATCTAAAATTTATAATGAACTCTTCTACTTCATCGAAATATATTGAAGTAATTAGATGTGGGCGCGCACATGTTGTTAATATCATTATGCACAATAATATATTCTTACCCCCATGATATAATTATAATCTCTTATATCAACAAGCTCTACTACCATGCGGAAACCCAATCAAAATTACAGCCTGCCGGAACCGCAGATGCATCAAACCGATCGTCACTAACAAATACCATCTGCTTAACGATCCCACCAAGCCATCAAGACTAACCGGCTTGTTTTGTTGCCGGTAAAATCATAATGGATATATATATTTTTGAGACATATGGTTAATTATGTCCTCTCTCTATAGCCTTCAGGAGACTATTGTTCATCTTTCGTAATCACTATATTTTATTATTATTTCAACGAAGCTTTCGCACAATAAAACGAAATAAAAAAAAAAATAAGTGGAAAAGATAATCTTATTAGCGACTATGAGTTGGTGTCCTGTCCATTCCCCTCCCTAGGTTTTGGTTTTGGTTCCCCTAACGTTAATTAGTTGGTGTACTGTACTCTCTCTTTCCTTCCCACTTAATTTTTATTTTATGTTTTTGGTTGACCTTTGAGCAGTAGCGATTCCAAAGAATTAATAAAAAAGATTCTCCCCAAAGCCCGTCCAAAACTGGATCTTTTGGTTCAATGTACTATTACTAATTTACTATTGCAGGCCGGACTTCGACTCCATTTGTTTTGATTCCAAGAGAGTGGGGCCGATTTAAGCTACCGAACAAAGCATATACGGATCTAAAAACTAAACCAACCACTTGTAAAATGTAAACATAGTATAATATGGAATAGGTTCCAATTCCAATATAAAACCATTCCATCTACTAGTTGGTATCATAGATTCATAGTACAAAATATGCTCAAATCAGCCACCAAGGGGTTCAGCAGGTCGCTCTTGGTTGGGAAGGTATCTTTCGCTGTGTTTATAGCGACTTGGGATGAGATAGTATGGAAAATGACACCTCCTATCAATTATAGACTTTTAATTAAGGTAACAAATTTGTGTTGTATTTAATAAACTGTGAGAATTAAAAACCTACATTAATTACTTTCCTTTTTTCAGTGCAATGGTAGTTGTATAAAGTGTAATAATAGTTGTATCGGTGCAATGGTAGTTGTAGGGCAATGATACCAGTGTACACGTGCAATGGTAATTGAAAAAAGGAATGTAATTAATATGGGTTTTTACTTCCCAAAGATTATTAAATGCAACACTTATTTAATATCCAAAATAAATATAATTAATAGAGGGTGTCATTTTCCTCACTTCTTAGAAGGTAGTCAATCTAACTCATCACTCGCGACGTCGTTAGTTCCCTGCGGCAGCGGCGACTCTTTATTGGAAGAATTGGAGCAATGGAACGTTTTATGATTTTTGCCTAACTGAATCCGTTAAGGGGGTTATCGGGTTTCGGGTACCTGAAACCCAATAAGCCACTTAGAGGGTTTTGATTCGGTTAGAGGAAGTAGTTGTTATTGGGTTTTCGGTTTGCAAGGGTTTCAGGTTCAGTTAACCGACCCGACCCGGTAGGCCTAGTTGTAAATATAGTATAATATGGAATAGGTTCCCGTATAAAACCTTACATTTTGGCAAGGGTGAACACACGCATATAGAGTACGCCAGACATACACAATCCTTGGTATGTATTCAGTACTGCACTAATTTTTTTGGGTGCATTCAATACACTCACCTCATAATCGTCATTTTAAGGAGGCGATTTATGTGAAAACGATATCAATCATCACTTATAGTATGTTGGACAAGAAAACACATGAATTTGTCCAAAAAACATTACACGATTTACTTTAATTTGAATGATATATGTTTTAGGATTGGGGTTCAAAATTGAAATTTAAAGGGTTAGAATAATGGATTGATTAGTTGCCATTCTATTTTATATCAACATAATATAATAGATTAATGCTCCAAATTCAAAATTTGATATATATTAACAAAGTTGGATACATTGAATAATAAAAAAAAAAAAAGAGTGCACCAAAGCTAGTCATCCCGCTATAATATAGCCATGCTTTCATAGTAGATGTATTGATGGTATCCACAAGTTTCTTATCTTCTACAAAATATATAAAGGCAAAACATGAGTCGGAATTCTCCCATTTCAAATTTCGTGGCCTGAAAGTGATTCTCGGAAGGTCATTATAGTCATCCCGCTATAATATAGTCATGCTTTCATAGTAGATGTATTGATGGTATCCACAAGTTTCTTATCTTCTACAAAATATATAAAGGCAAAACATGGGTTGGAATTCTCCCATTTCAAATTTCGTGGTCTATGTTTTAGCTACACGTATGTATGTGTACAAACAGAATCATACATACAATTTAATGTTTAATGTTTCAATCAATATTACTTGAGTTTCGATTTCACAATTAATTATTTTCTATAAGATATAATCATCTCAGGTAAAATATCTTTCGTACTTGATTGAATGAAGAAACTCTTTCAATAAGATACATTTAATCACAAACAAACAAGCCGGTAATAAGGGACCAGTAATTCCAAGTTCTGCACCTATGGGTACATTTGAACATATTTCTCTGTTATGTGCAACCATCCTTTATCTCATCTCAGAATGTGCACAGTAAGAGTAGGAAATGAACTAGATCTGGATTATCAATTTTCATGCTCTACATATGCCTCGTGCAGAAGAGCAACATGGAGCTCCAAGTGCTTCGATTAGTGAAATTTTAAGCAAGTTGAATCTCTTCAAGCATTTCGATATCGTTGAAGACTGTATGTAAATTTTTACTTCTTTGGTTCTTTGAGAACAGTTCAAATAGATTGTTTTCTGGCAAAAATGAGTGAACCTGGATCCAACACAATTATGATCTGCCAAAAAGGGGAGGGACCAAAAGCCATTAAATTTTGTTCCGAGTCTAGTTTCCACTTCTATGAAAACCTGGCCTTGCTATTTAATAACTTTTGAAGTTAGTATGATCAATTCCTCTTTTCTTCTGCCAGACTGAGAAGAAGTGGGCCAAAAGAATTCAAGAAGAATGGAAAATTCTGGAGAAAGATTTACCAGGTATGATATGTACCCATGTTATTCTTTGAGCATCCAAGAACTGACTACGGAGTTTCTTCTTCTTCTGATAACCAATTGGTTTAACTACTGTTTCTTTTCCCTGTTTTTTTTTTTCTTTTCATTGTCAAATGCAATTCTTCTAGTGCTTTCATTTTTTTCTATTGTTTGCCTTGATCTTTTGAATCGTGATTAGTACTTGTGTTACCATTTGTGTTGTGATGTTAGACATTAAGATGTAGGAACGTTGCTCATATATTGCATATGTTGGATTGTCTTTGACAATAGCAGAACTGGTGCTTTCTGTATAACGCCCTGATCTCATTAGACTGGAAATATGAATGCTCATACTAAAACCTTGATCTAGTTTCGAGGATGAGAAATTAGCATCGTGATGAGTAGTTTATAACCTTTCTTCTGAGAGTGAAAAATATTGTGAATTGGATTGATTTATACACCAAAGTTTCCGTTTTTATAGCTGGAGAGGAAACTTTGTATTACTATTGATGTTTATTCCTTTCTATGTCATCATTCCTGAACTATTATTTTGTGAAATTTTTGTTCATCGTTTGATTATATTCTGGTTGTTAGCTAGACAGTTGATTCCATATCTCAATCTGGAAAGAACCCATGTCTTTTTATTCTAGGTATGGCAACGTACACTAGAGCGAGTCGAAAAACTTAAAATTTGACATGGAAAAAGGGCTCCTTTACAGTTCATTGTACAGCTTTCTGCAGTTTTGTTCTGTTCCATTCAGATAGTTGATCATATTTTTGCAGCATTTCGAGGACCTTGTGAAGGGCCATTGCCACATCCGGGCCAAGGACATCGTTGTGGCATGCAAAGCATACATGCATGTCTGGTGCTCAAGTCGGGTGTCTGGTGAAGGGCGGAAGGAATCCAGGATCTCGAAGAAGGAGACAAGAGCTGTTCGCCGATGCTTAAGAACTCCTTACCTGCATGCGTGGACATGCTCGAGAAAGCGTTTGCCCAACTTGGAGTGAAGAACCAATGAAGGGAGGGTGAGGGATCAGTACTCTTTTTAACTTTCTGATAAATTTTGAGGCTGCAAATGCAATGTAGCACAAACCTTTGGCCAGTGAAGAGAGTTCGCTCAAATTTTGAGGCGATGGAAAAGCCTAATTAATTAGCAATCAAGCAAGTGTGATTGGGATGCCTAGTGAAGAAAAATAGAGATAACTTTTGATACCTTTCTTTTTCTTTTTGGGAGGGAATTGTATATTGGTGTAGAGAAATATGCATGTCTCTTATTGCACCCTGAGCTTTTGAAATAATATTAAGATCAATTAGCTTCAGGTTTGAGCAAGTTTCATCCGAGTAAAGATTTTATTTTTGTGACATTGAACCATTTGAACACTCATAATCGAATCAGGTCATATTGAAGTTAGAATCAAATCAAATTAAAATACCGTTCGATCGAGTTTTGGTAACGAGTTTTCGGGTTTCATTTTTTTTTGGTTTCGGATTTGGCTTAAAATCTGAAGTCATATCAATTCTTCATATTCCATAGTGTGCTTTGGTTTTCGGGTTTCGATTTTACTTTACTCGAACCCAAAATCGTTAAGAGAGTTTTTCGGTTTCCAAATGATAGCGGTTTTCGAATTTTCGGTTATTTTGGGTTTAGGTTCGGTTATCCGAACCGACCCGACACCTCTGGCTCTAGTTGAGCATGGCCCTGGCCTGAAAGCTGCACAGGTTCCGACGAAGAAAAATCTACACTAATTTAAACCACTTTAGTTTGAGTCGGACTATATTGAAGCATGAAAGTTGGACCAGATTGGATTGAATACACTTTTTTAATCTGATTTTTATATTCTTCATTGTATAAGCCTTTTTATGGGTCATTTGGATGCAGGTTTTGGGTGTGGGATTTGGGCACAATCCTACATAGTGTGGGATTTTATTAAAATCACTCGTTTGGAAAGCAATTATATGATAAGAGATTTTAAATATTAGAGATTTCAGAAACCCACAATTGTGGGATTGTGAAATAGCTGATGGTGATCAGCTATTTTAAAATCCCACAAATTAAAAACCTGGGTTTTTAAACCAGTGATTTGAGCTAAAATCCCACAAATTAAAAACCTGGATCCAAATGACCCCTTATTGTTCGACTCGGTCCATCGGTTTGGACAGTAACCAGAAGTCACAATTAGTGGCCAAGCAGCCGTGGTAAGGAGGAGAACAGAAGATCGCTAGATCCAACTCGGGTCCTAACTTCTACCCATCATCAATTTTGCTGCTACTTTTGCCCCGCCGGCGATCGCTCTCTTCCGGCCGGTGCTGCCACTGTCGTTGCTTCAGTTTACTCTGTTCGTAGTCTTTCGTGGAGGTGGCCGCTTAATTCCTTGCTGGGTCTCGATAAATTTCTCGGTCTCTCGTTCCCTCACCAACTTTCACCGTTACTCTAATCTCAGGTACTTTGGCGGCCGTCAGTATCCGTGTTTTGATGCTGAAGCTGTCTCTCTGTTCGATTGGTGAATGAAGGGAATTTAGCGGATTAGGGTTTTGGGTTCTGTTGTTTGGTTAGCTTCATGTCGATTCATGTTCAATCAAATGGGGAATCTTAACAAACGTATATATGATGTGGAATGATCTTATATCGGTAAAGCTTGGCATGTTACCCGCCAAAAGAACTTATGGTAGTCTTGTGGGTGGCATTGTAGGTAGCAGTCCTTTGATGCAGATGGGCTCTGCTACTGAGGTTCAAACAATGAATTCCCCTGGATTGATTATCAAGAACACCGATTCAATTCGATGGTTTCTCCGTTCTGCATCCAATGAGACACACCTTCCTCTGGAGCTAAAAGATGCTGCATCTAGGTTGTTGTCACAGGACAATGTGCACTATGTGTCTCTCCGAAGTATATGGACGGGATCTCAGCCTTCCAGCCGTCCAGAGTTGATGCTTCTCTTATCAGGATCTGAATTCATCTTCCCCACCCCTAAACCAAGAGAAAAGGTAATATCTTCCATGTTCGAGATTGCCTCATTCATCATGGTTTTAACTTCTGCTTACCAAATTGATTGGAATTCAATTTATATTTATCTGCATCTAGGGCGAAGAACTAAAGGCGAGATTGAGGAAACTTGAGGAACTGGCTGAGAGAAAGGCCTATCAGGAGCTAGTCAAGGATATCACGCCAAGCAAAGAAACAACTGAACCTTTCTCTTCTTACAAGGATCAGCTCGGCTTTGGTATAGTGTACTTAAAGAGTTCACATTTCGTTCTTCCGTTATTGATGTCTTGGCGCAAATCCAAATTTAGAAAGAACATTGATCAATGTGGTTTATCGCGGCAACACAATTTGATTGGTAGAGAAATAGGATGCTTATGTTAAGTAATAAATGAACTTGATCTTAGTCTTTTGACTCTTTTCCCTTAATATACTTATATTATCTGAATACATAACTGAATCATGTTCAATATGTTGACTGCACAAATTATGAGTTCTTATGCAAAGGTAGGATAACTCTCTCGGGAGGATTTGTGCAATTCTAGAAATATTTACCATCATGCTTGAACCAACTCTCTACAGGTCTGCATGTTGGTCTCACCATGTTCACTGGATATTTAGTTGGGTATGCAGCATTCAGAGCATTGTTTGGCCACAGTCCTGCCATGGTAAATACCATCTGTTGTCATAAAAGGAAAATCAACTGTTTGTATTGTTTCTTTGTCCATCTGCTGCTATATATGCGCTTATGCAGAGAGTCTGAGTTTTGGTGCTTGTCTACTGAATTCATAATTGCAGAGCGCTGCTGGTGGAATTCTGGGATTGGTGGGCGCGATGCTTTTGGAAACACTCCTTTTCATTATTAGAACATCTGATCCGGCTCCCAAATCAAACAGAACCAAGCTAAAGAAGCCATAGACTGGTACTTCAATTACGTTTTTAGATTTCCATGATTGCTCATCATGGACTTAATTCAAAACCCACGCAATTGAGAAGCTGCTGGACTTTTCATCGGACTGTTGAATGCATGCCATTTCATATCACTCTGGCTTGTAGTACGTACCATCTCAACGGCAATGGTTTTCTGAGTGTTTGGCTTCAGCATAGGGAAGTAGCAGTAAGAAAAAGTGCTGCTTTGCAGCTTCAGCTATGATCTGACATTCCCGGTTTGCAGTTTGGAGCTCTAATTGCAGGCAGAAAGCGAGTTGCCTCGATAGACTATGTGCATGTACAAGGTTAATGGTTGTAGCGTTGTAGTTCCTGTAGATATTACAGCATTGTGATCAAAACCGCAGTCTATCTTACTGGGGAGATGCGGTACCCATAGAGAACTCAGAATCCATTTTATTTTGGGAAAATGACCAACATGGTTTGGGTAGGTTTTCTCCTAAACTCCACAACAGATGTAATAATTTTGATACGAGTTTGGTATATTAAGTATCTATATCGAAACCACTTGTTTAACGCTCTGTTTGAAAACAAGGGAGGTGCAAATTGCAGGAGGGTGCAAGTTGAGGGGTAAATTGTTGGGGGTATAAGTGGAGGGGTAAATTGTTGTTTGGATGAAAAAGTAGGGGGGTGCAAATAGAATGAAAAGTAAGTAATTATATTATTTTAAAATAGATTTTAGATTACAAAATAGTTTTAAAATTTTAAAATATTATCATAAAATAATAAAATAAATATTACTATATAATAATAAATATACTTTACTAAAAATAGTTATTATATAATAATGCTCAAATAATAATTAATTATGACAATTGTATAATCATTGATCGAGCGATCTCAAAACTCAAAGCTCAACTTGTAACTGGTCATCCTATATAGGGTTTCGTGTCTAGTTTAATCTTAAATTGTCAAACTTAGTCAAACACGTTCGAATTTGTAAGTTTTAACTATTTAGTCAAATAAACTGAGTTAACCAAACAATTTCTCTCTATCTTTTCCACATACACCTCGTATCTCTAATTTTCAATGCAAATTCGATTCAACCAAGAGATCTAGATTTGACTTGACGAACATTGATAAACTTGTTTCCAGAGTCAAATGGTCAACCCCGAATAATGTTTACATTAATGATATTTATAAAAAGAAGAAATTGATAATATTAATTATTATATAATTATATATAACACAATTAGAAGAAAAAAAATTCCATAATTCCCCCCTCCCCCTCTCTTCCTTCCTTCCCTTGCACCCCAATTTGGGGGGTAAGCCGAAAAAGTAAATTTGCACTCCCGTTTTGCACCCCCTACTGTTCCAAATTAACCAAACAGGTGCAAATGTGTTGGAAACTGTATTTACCCCTCACATTTGCACCCTCCTCCCATTTACCCCTCTTCCCAAACTGAGTGTAAATGCTTCAAGCATTTTCTCGATCCTCTCACTTCATTGCTTCGGCCATTCGCGTCTTTCTAATTTTTGCTCCTTTACTCTCAGATTTGCCATGCGATATTTTTTTAAAAATTTCAACTAACGTCACAATCCTAACAAAAAAATTGGCATTGTCAAGATAGAAGCATACAATATCTAGGATGGTGCAAGCAGGTTTTTCACAAGTCATTTGGAATTTGTGTGATTCAGAGATTGTACAGAGAGGTAAACGGTCCACGTATAAACTCATTGTTATCCTTCTGGACCATTTCATTTCCTTTTTGTAGGATATTCAATAATGCAAATGAAAGAACGATAACCCCCCCTAAAAAAATCAGTAGAAGATGCCCACATATAAGGTTGTCTGACTTTACCCGTAGCGGTCCAACAATGTCAATTTACGCTTAAAATCTCTCTATTCACCATCTTAGGACCATTTCATTTCATTTCATTTTCATGGGTTGTTCAATAATGCAAAAGACAAACCTAGGTGAAGAACGAAAAACCCGTGAGCATTGAGTTACACATTTGCTTTATATGTACACAGACACTAGTGGATGTCACATCGAAATAACGCCTCCACCACATAGATATTCTCTCCCACTCTCCAATTCACGAGTCCCCGACCCGAGGAACATCTCTATATAAACAACCACATCATATCTTTTGCTTCAATCAACCTAAACCGTAAAACGAAAACAAAAAATTTACAGAAAAAAAGATGAGGCATTTCGTGCTGGTCCACGGGGCGTGCCACGGAGCGTGGTGCTGGTACAAGGTGATCGCCGAGCTCAAACAAGCCGGCCACAAGGTCACCGCCCTCGACCTCGCCGCCTGCGGCATAAACCCAAGGCAGGTCGACCAGGTCCGCGACCTGGTCGACTACTCCGAGCCTTTGCTCGACTTCCTGGCTTGTCTCGAGCCGGCGGACGAGAAGGAGAAGGTGGTGCTGGTTGGTCACAGCATGAACGGTTTCAGCTTGTGTATTGCCATGGAGAGGTTCCCTGAGAAGATCGCCGTTGCTGTGTTCGTTGGCGCCACCATGCTGGGTCCCGATTTCGACTACGAACTCGTGGCCGAGAAGGTATCAAGGAACTAATAATAATTATCAAATTTTTAAGTTAGCTACCTTCCCTCACCGTGCATGTTAATTGCGCGCGTATTGCATGCAGTACGAAGAAATGTCAGCAGGGGCGGACTACATGGATTCTCAGGTGATATTTGGGAACGGCATGGGTAAGCCTCCGACGGCGGTGTTGCTTGGCCCCAAGTACATGGAGACGAAGACCTACCGCTGTTCTCCCCGCGAGGTAATTCATTCGTACTGAATGGATCCTAATTTGTTAGAACCAAATCGAAGTATGAACCAGCGTGTAGTAAGTGATTGATATTTTATCTGTTGACTACTATAAAATCGTTAAAAAAAAAAAACAGATACCTTTTAATAAGTGAAAAATAAGCTATTAATAAAACAATGACACTGTTTTGGTGACTTCAAAACAATACTCATACACCATAATTAGGGCTGTCAGTTCGGTTGCCGGTTAGCGGCTAACCGGCCGGTCTAACCGGTAACCGCCGGTTAGCGGCTAACCGGAAACCGAAAAAAATAGGTGTCGGTCGGTTGTCGGATGCTTTCAATGGTTAGGCGGTTAGCCGAAAAACCGAGGCCGGTTAACCGGCTAACCGACACTAACCAACCTCCAAGTTGCAGGCCTTTAATTACAGGAATTCCATTCCTTTAATTAAACCAAAACCCCAATTCAAACGCCACTGGAAAGTGGAAACCCATTTACAGAGAGAACATTCATTCCTTCCTTCCAAATCCCTTCCCCCCCCTCTCTCTCTCCAATTTATCATCTTCCAAATTTAATTTCCCTTCTCCATTTTCGAAAACCCTTTCCCCAGATGAACTTCCTTCCAAATCCCTTCCCCCCCCCCCCCTCTCTCTCCAATTTATCATCTTCCAAATTTAATTTCCCTTCTCCATTTTCGAAAACCCTTTCCCCAGATGAAGAACACGAAGAGACACAAAACAGAGCACCCACCACCGCCGTCCCCTGCGCCGGTGATTCTTCGCCTCCTCCGCTACCCCTCCTTCCACCGCCACCACAACTTGCTCTGACTCCGAGCTGCCCGTCGCCTCGCGCATCGCCGCCCGTCGCCGCGCGCCTCGCCGCCTCGCCGCCTCGCCGCCTTGCCGCCGCGCGCCTCGCCGCCTTGCCGCCGCGCGCCTCGCCGCCCGTCGCCGCGTGCATCGCCGCCCCTGTAGATCTGTTTGCATGGGCCATGGAGAAGGAAGGTGAGAGAAGAAGAAGGAAGGAGAGAGGAGGTCTGGTGGAGGAAGGAAGGAGAGAGGAGTAGATAAGGAAGGAGTGGTGGAGTTTTTCTTGTTTTATTATTATTTTTTTCGGTTGGCCGGCTAACCGAACCTAAAACCGGAACCGACCGGTCGGTTGGTCGGCTAACCGTGACCTTTTCTTCGGTCGGTGGTCGGCAGCTATAGGAGGTGTCTCGGTTTACCCGATAACCGGGTTTTCGGTTTTCGGTTAAACCGAAACCGACCGACTGCCACCCCTAACCATAATGACTCAATTCTGAAATCTCATGCACGAGAATACTAGGTCGACGATATTTGTTATTTGAGCGTCTAATTTTCATTATTTTGGATTGATGAAAATATTTCCGGCCAAAGCTTTCGAATTATTCACCTATAATTAGAAAATACGAGTTATAATCACGATAGCTATGAGAAATTCGAAGTCGTATTAGTAACAACATTTTCTCCTATATATGCTCTCCTTAATTTACGCATTTTTGCATGAATGAATGCAGGATCTGGAGCTGGGAATAACGCTGGTGAGGCCAAGTCCGATATGGGAGCCAGAGCAAGCTGCGAAGGACACGGTGGTGACCAAGGAGAAGTACGGCACCGTCGCTCGGGCGTTCGTGGTTTGCGACGAGGAGCGAGATGGGACCTTCCAGTGGTGGCAGATCAAGAACAACCCTCCGAATGAGTACATCGTCATTCCTGGCTCGGCTCCGACCACATGGTCATGTTCTCCCAACCTGCTCTCCTGTCGCAATATTTCCTCCAACTCGCCGGCAAATACTTCTGATCGTTGCCGTTGGTTGGTCGCAGTTCCATGCAATAATGTAATGTCTTGTTGTAATATAATAAGGAGAAAGACATACTACCTATTGTCTTTCAATCCAACTATTTGAAGACTAATAAAATATACCATTCACAGTACGTATATCGATCGTATCACTTATCTTATCGTACTTGAGATTTCATTCACGTTACGTTCCTCACAAAGAAAATTAAGGAGGAATTGTGAACTATAAATGAATTCGGTTCAATTTTTCCATAGATAACTAAAAAGGGAATCACAAATCAAGGAGAAAAAGATAATAATGCTGACATAATATCTTGTTTTTATGATGACTTGACCCTTATTTAGAAGATGAAAAATTAGCGACAGAAACAAACATATTAGACAGTATATCTAAGACTAATATAATATGTTATCACTCGTAGTAAAAATCATCAAACTACCAAGAAATTTGTAGAGATATCTCCTCTATTTTTCTGGCTGATAAGCTACGATCGAATATCTAGATTTATCATGATTCATGAATTAAAAGCATCCACAGGTTTCTTTTATATTAAAAGATGGGGATATTGAGAGATTCTGCTCACTTCTTTGGTTCTTTTGGAAGGAAAGAAACAACAGTTTATTCAATAATAAGATGATGCAAGAATGGGAGGTCTTCACAAGAGCTGATGACTATATACAGGATTATGTGGCTGTCCAGGGGAAGGAGAAAACCAACAACAGAAGTGCTAACAGGAAGAACTGTAAATGGGAAAAACCTCCTGAGGGGGTTTATAAACTTAACTCTGATGCAGGATGTAGTGGTAAAGGGGAGATAGGAATGGGATTTATAATCCGAGACTGGCAGGGGAATGTGAAGGTGGCAGCTAGTAGAACAATCAGAGCAAACTGGCCCCCTGACATTGCAGAAGGGATGGCTCTTCAGTTTGGGTTGCAAAAAGCAAAAGAGTTGGGGCTGAGAACCATACAAGTGGAGTCTGATTGCAAGAAGTTGATAAACATCCTTAAAGGCAATGAGGAAAGCAGAACAGAAATCGGGAATGTGTGTAGAGGCATCGCCTTTTTAGGCATGGAGATTGATGTGCTGGATTGGAAATTTGTCTTCAGAGAAGCCAATACGGCTGCTCACATTCTTGCTCATTTTTTCCCGTTTCATTGTGCTGGAGAACGAATATGGCAAGGCTGTTACCCAGGCCATATAGCTGATGTAATTGCCCAAGAGGCTGCAGTCTGATTTCAATGGAATGGTTTTAAGTTTCAAAAAAAAAAAATATTAAAAAAAGAAAAAAACCATTTTCTTCCATGCCACGTCGTACAAAAACTATGTCCTTCGGAGACACGTGGAATTTGTAAACATAGCATTCCCCAGAAATAATGAAACAATCTCCCCCGACTATCCCGCGCCCCTTTCCCGCCTTTTTTCTTGCACAGGCATCTCGTGGGATCCGCTACACGTGTCCATCTCCCGTCCCTCCGGAAGGCCAATCCGACGGTCCAAATTCTTCCTTCTCCGTCTATATACAGAAATCGGAAACCCAAAAATTTTCAGGTTCCGAGACTTTCTTTTGTTTCATCTTCTTTTAATCTCTCGTAGATCAATTAGCCATGAAAGCCGTTCTGTTGAGGACGAGCTCGAACAAGGTCCACCCGCCGGTCTGCCCGGCCGGGTCGCCGGCGGTTTCCCCCAAGGTCTCCCTCCCCCGCAATGACTCGCTCACCGGAATGTTCGCCTGGGACCCAAACGCCCACAACAAGAAATCGCTCCACCTCGAGATCGCCAGCAGCCCGCGGCGCGGCGGCGCCACCATCACCAGGTCCATGTCGGAGAGCGACATGGCCCGATCCTTCAGCGACTTCTCCTCCGCTGTCGGCGGCGGAGGAATGAACAACAAGAAACTCCCGCAGTCCGCATCCCGGTGCTCCCTCTCCGCCGTGGAGGAGGAGGCGATCGCGGCGGCCAGATCCGGGCGGAAGTTCGTGAGGAAGGACGTGTACGGGGTGGGGATCGCCGCCGCCGGGTCGTGGGCGTCGGAGGTCGGGATCCCGGTGGAGGAATCCGGCGAGGCAGGGAAGAGGTTGGACGGCGGGAATTGCAATGGCGGGAACAACAACGGCGGCGGGTTCGGAGGAAGGGGAGAAGGCAACGGCGGTGACAATGACAATAAGAGAAGGATGGCTGAGTATTACGAGCAGATCATTCGATCCAATCCTCACGATGCCCTCCTCTTACGCAACTACGGCAAATTTCTATACGAGGTAAACAAATACGTAACCATCCATTACGTAAGACTTACGGTAACGCGTTCAAAATACATAGATCTTAACACGTAAATTTTACGTACTAAGATTTATGCATCGCACGTATATTCTGTAACCATCGCGTAAATTTTACGTACCAAGGTCGAAGGGGACGTGAAACGAGCGGAGGAATACTACGGGAGAGCGTTGCTGGAGAGTCCAGGCGACGGGGAAGTGTTGTCTCTGTACGCCAGGCTGATATGGGAGAATTACAAAGATCAACAAAGAGCTTTTACCTACTTCCATCAGGCTGCTTCTGCCTCCCCTAACGATTGGTACGTTGAGATTCAACTATGATTTTGAGAGTTGAGCGGAGGGATATGGCCGATGGTGAATAGCTCCGCCGCGATCCAACCCTGAGGTTCTCGGATATGGTGTTCCTGATTTGTTTTGTTCTCGTGTTGTGCTTTGGGGCAGTATGGTTTTAGGATCCTACGCACATTTCATGTGGGTGTCGGAAGATGAGGAAGCAGAAGCGGCCGCAGCAGCAAACAACGTTACTGGGGAAGCTCCACCACCACCACCACCGGCGGCGACAACAACAACAAGGCCAGCCATGGTTCCCGCCTTTTAAAACATAGAACAGTAATATATCAAATAATTAATTAATTGATTAATTATCAAATCACATAATTGATCATCATCTTATATATTAAATCGATCAAGCAAGCTCCTTGGTCACAGAGAGCTTAGTCATTGTTATATTCTAATGTCAATAACCCCAAACCAGAAATACCAACTAGAAGAAACCAAACAAGTTCATTTTACATGGAGAGACGAGCGGCCACATCATTGTCGTGCTGCTGTGTGTTTGCAGTGCTGGTGTAGTTACTGTGTCATTAAAAGGGGGCATAATTACAGAAACCTACTGCACAATCTTGTGTTTTTATCTTTCCTGTTGATGTACAGTGTAATTAATTAACTAATTACCTGACTAATTTCTGTGTATTTCTTTTCTTAATTCCATTCCATGTGTGTAATTAACAATATTAATTTATCTGGAAATTCCAACTTACATTGTGTAAAGAGTAAACGTATTGTACAGATGATTAGGGGAGAAAGCTATAAGCTTTCTGCCTGACCCATAGTACTGTTTCCACAGTGATTAGAAAGGGATCCTCTCACCTTCTCACAGGTTTGACAGAGCTCTCTTTCTTCCACTCACACAAGCCCAGCCATCCATTTCTACAACCGACTGATCTTCCCAAAACTGGTAGTACTTGTCGATAATAAGTGGCACCTGCAACTGCAAAAAAGAGGGGAAAGGGGTAAAAGGGAGAAGGCCGAAAAAGAACAACTTTATCAGAGCAAGCACAAAACCGTAGAAATCTGAGCAATTATCAAGTTAGATAAAAGAGCCATCTGAGGAACCAAATATTGGTTCTTTATATTGTACCAGATAGTGTGTTTGACGTTTGATAAACCCCCAAATATTGACAATTGATACAGGATAAGGTATTTGTCAGGTTTAGGGCAAACTTCAAACCCAAAAAGAGTTAGTTTTTCGTTTTAAGGGCAAGAAAGGAATGATGTAAGATCCCTAATTGGACCTCTCAAAAAGAAGTTGTTTCTTGGACAAACAGTTTGTCACAAACTAATTCTCCGAGTCCCTGATAGGAAGAAGAAGAGTTCTTTCCAAGTTATGCATTGCCAGAATTTGAGCAAGAAAATGCTAATTGGAAGATTGAAGAGGCAACCACTGTGTAAAGAAAGGTGAAAGTCACTCTTTGAAATGCATGGCATGCAACGGCAAGTTAGATACTGACTGCTAATGAAAAATCATGCGTTTCAGGCATACCTGCTCAGACATAATCCCAGATAACCCAACAACGTCTCAAGGTTTGGCAAAAGAGACAATGTCATCTGCAAGTTCCAGGAGAGGATACAACAACATCACATGTTTCAGTTTCTCAGGTTCTATGTTGTTCAGAACAGCATTGCGGCGTGCTGATTTGATTGCTTGCTCATCGACATCGATTCCAAATGACCTAGCTGCACCAAACTACAAGCACATATAGTGAGCTAACGATAGACTGATAGCGAAATAATAGCATTACTTAGCTGAAATATTGGTATGAATTATACCTTAAGCGCTGCAATTGCAAGTATCCCAGAACCAGTTCCATAGTCCAAGAAACATTCTCCTCCTGTTATCAAACTTTTGAGAGATATAGACACAGCTTTGAATTAGAATGCTCTCCAGTTCCAAAAGCAAGACCAGGATTGAGGATCATATTAGTCGCATGAACATCCTGTAGTGGGGCAAAAAACAGATACATATCAAGCAACTGTCACCAACTCCTTCTCCTTCCTCTTCATTGTCACCATCACCATCCACGCTGCTTGAGCTTGCTCCAAAACATAGCAGAGCTTCTGAAAACGATTCCTGATTTCGATAACAATAGCTCATATAATAGCAGGAAGAAGGAGAGCAGGAAAACGACCCCAATTAGGAGTCTAAGTGTCAAATGGTACTTACGTAAGCATGCCGCGGGCATCGAATCCTTACGGAAACATAGCTCTGGTAATTCCAGTCGGTTGAAGCGGTCGGGCTTGCTGTCGAAGCAGATGAGAATGTCGTACGCGAAGAAGAAGAGAAAATGTTGGAGGCGAGGATGACCGTCTAGAGAAGGGGTAATCGGGCTTGGTGAGAGCGGGGAGAGAGGATAAGGGCGGCGAATGAGAGCCCTGTTCAGATTGAACGAAAGGTGTTTGATGAAATGACTCTTAAACATCGGGTACTGGTCTTAGTCTGCTGCTAACTTCTCTCGTTTTATACTTTTATTTCTCTCCCCAGTCGTTTTCTTCTACGGCTTCGTTTTGGCGGATATCAATAGAGCAAAAATGGCGGGTGCGCGCTTTGACCTAATCTTTGCTCGCCGGTAAGAGAATCGCAAGCAAAAGGGGGAAATGGCTTTCGCGGCGAATCCTTTGTCTGTAAGCGTTCCCGACGAAGCATTCGAGTCCTGGCTCCGGGATTCCGGCTACCTTGAACTCATCGACCAACACTCCTCCTCCACGGCCGCCACCACCGTCAACTTCACCTCAACCAGCGACACGGCGGCGGAGGCAGCAACCAACGATCTCGACCACGCATCGCCGACCGGTGGATTCTTTTTCGATTCCTTGTTTCCCGCCATCTCCGTCCTTCTCTCCGTCTTATCAACCAACCCTTTCTCGAAGCTCTCCGCCGCTGATTTCTCCGCTCCGACTCCTTCCTGGACCGGGGCCTTCATCGGGGATTGCGGGTCCTACTCGTTTCCATCCGGATCGCATCAGGCCAGGATCCGGGTTACGGAGAATGTAAAGCGTTATGCCAGGAATTACGCAACTCTCTTCATCGTCTTCTTCGCCTGTTCTCTGTAAGTTATCCCTTCCCGCTATGGCATTATCTACCATGCTGGTTACTGTGTTTGCTTCTTCAATAAACATGAGAATTAGAAACCATGGTTGCAAGGGAAGGAAGGAAGGGTCACAGGATTTGTCCATAGCTTAAGATACATTAAACTTTGAACCCGTAGTCCATTGGTTGCTCCATTTTGTGGGCAAGTATGGGGAGAGCTATAGGATCTACCTGCAGGCTGCAGCTAAGATGAGAGACTAGATTTTGGTTGCTTTTATGTCATTGATTAATGGATTTCTTACCAGTGGATAATGGGTAGATGATTCATCTAATGTGTTAAGAATTCTTGTACATTGTCTGGTCAAGAACTGAACTTTGCATGTTCTGTGATTTTGTGATCTAGGTATCAAATGCCACTGGCTCTCGTCGGATTGATTTCGTGTTTGGCTGTTTGGGACATGTTTAAGTTTTCTAATAAAAGATGGGAATGGGATAGGTACCCTGTACTTCGACAAGTCTTGGTTCGCGCTGCACAATGTGGTGAGTGCCACTGCCAATATTCATTGTCGAGTTTATCTTCTACAATCAGTCCTCCTGTGACATTTTTGTTGTATATATATAAGTGATGTTATGTGTCGTTTTCTTTGCTGAATCAGTGTTGTATACCACTTGGCTACTGGAGCATATCCACTTTTAGTTTCATGAACAAAACATTTCCTTGGCTTACATCAGTTTCTTAATATCATAGAAAGGATAGGACAATTCAGTTTATATTGTTGTTAGTTCTTCTTAGAATGTGGAAATCGGCTTCAGTAATCTGAAAGCAGTGTTCTTCAATAAACTGAACCAATAAAGTTAAAGAGAACAGACTCAGCTGTATACTTTGTACATTGACAAGACACATTACTTCTCATTGCTTGTGTTATCACTTATCAGCCTAAAACAGTATTTGGATGCTGCGATATACGAAACTGGGTTTCTTTTTCACCCCTCCTTTTTCCCAGCTCGAATTTGCCTCTTCTACGTTTCTTATCTTTGTTTTCTTCTATCTGGTTCTGGGAAATGTTCCTGACAGAGTGAATGAATCATTTTTCTCGGCCACATTGTCATTCTGCTCTTCTCTGTTATATTTTTGCAGCAACTGCAGTTGTTTTGATAATCCTGAATGTTCAAAAGGCTCTCCTGTGTGCTATTGCGGTCAGCTACGCAGGTAAATTATGTTTCTGCCTCCTACCTTCCCAGCATATAACTATATATATACCTTGGTGATCCTCTTCGCAGCTTTATCCTATGATTTGCGTTGCCTTTTTAGGAACTTAATTCTGTTTCTCTTCACTTCGATTTGCAGTCACAATTTTGCATGCCACCTTTCGTAAATTGACTCCGACCTCAAGGCAGCCTCCCAAGAAAAGGTAGTACAGGTTTCCAAGAATGGAATGCGGAAGAAAGGCGAGGAACAGCTATGTAGATGGAAACTTGATACTTAATAGTTAATTCATTAGGCACATTCGAGTGTATGTATTCACTGGAAGTATACAACAAACACGATTTCTTGTGCATCCAAAATCCGTAGTGTACAAATGGTGCATTCAATTTTATATCAGAGGTTGTAATCTGTTCTTTCTATACACATGTCAGATCTGAGTCGAACAATTGAAGTTTCTACAAATAACTTCTATTGCGTGTAAAATTACAGAATACTTACGTTGCACAACAAGGTTAGCAGCTCGACAATCTTAGTAAGTCCCAAACAAAGGAGCCTAGAAAAAACTGAGCTTAACAATCAACGAATGAACAACGAATTTTCCTTTCCCCCCTTACAATGGTATATGTATAGTTATAGTAGTAATAATGATATGTCTATGTACATGGGAAATCCAGAACAAAGAATGGCTAGACAGAGGTAGGTAGGTTGCTTGGCAAAAAAGCTACAACAAATAATGAACAAACTAATAATCAAAGAGCAGCATGCGCCTTTCTCTATTTCAAGGCTCTCTCCGAAGCAGAGTTGAGTTTTCCCTCCTGTCCTGTCCCGTCCCATTTTTCTCCATTCGTTACAGATTTACACCTCCCGACCTTGCCATCTGCACATCATTTAACAGGGATCATCAGCTCACACTGGCGGGAGAGAACGGTTATTAAAACACGTACGTGTAAGTTATGACATCATACTATGCGAGTACCATATGAGTATTAGACGAGTTTCAACTAACTATGATATAGGTATGAAAACACTTTATTAACTTTTAATTACTTTGAGGGGAGGACTAAGGACTAGAAGTAGTACCTCGAGAGGAGAAACCTCGCAAGAGGGCTTAAACTGGCATTTGAGTTGAAATCTTTGGGCTGTTGTCTCTTTGCATTTTGAGCTTCTTCAGCATCGGTGGTCTTGCCCTTGGACAACAAAGCAGCCGCCAGTTCCTGAAGATCCTTCATAGAAGATTCCTTTGAGCTGCATATCCAGTGACAAGAGTTCAGTATGAATGGGGGAAACTAACTAGCCGTCCACAAGGAAAGGGGTAACATTACAAACCTCGCCAATCTCTGAAGTAAACTTCTGACGATGATTTCTGAAGACCCTGGCTTTATGCGCTCCATATTCGCAAGGGAGTTTATAGCAGCATGCACTGCTGATCCTTCTAAACCATTTGCAGCTGCCTACAGTACAAGTGTCAGGTTATAAGAAATATGGATAAATGACGTGCTAAATACTCGGAATTGAAAAGTGGACAACTCAGTTCTGGCACGAGCAGTAAATTCAGTTCAAAAACCTCTGGTGCGCGAAACCTTTTAACTTCTCAATCCATCTAGACATTCACCTCCAATTACAATCAGGTTTTCTCACACTCCACCACCCAACGAACCTTAATAAGCTTCTTACACCAACAATTTTTGGGGAGCAACATGTCCATTTAAGAAGTACCAAATTTTGTAGTATCAAATAATTCACTGCAGCATCTCATATCTTCTTTTTACAATAACTGCTGCATCTCAATTACTTTCAATGGGATCTAGATTCTTTCAAACCTTAGTGATGAAGGGAGCATCTCATATCAACCCTTGATCACAAAGGTTGGAAAAAATCTAGATCCCATTGAAAGTCGCTTCTGAGCCATTTTCTCCATCTTTCTTTCTCATACTTATGTTTTCATTCTGCTGGGGACATACAGCCAAGCTTTTTTTCCAGAACAGGGATCCACAAGGTAATCTGCAGTTCCCTCTCAATGGCAAATTTGTTATTCTTGAAATTTGAAAACAGGTCTAATACAGACAGTAAAACCGGAAGAACCCAATAGCAAGAAAGCATGGAAGTCAAAGGAGTTCATTACCTCTTTCAAAGAAGGGATAAGTAAAACTGATAGAGGCGCTGATGATGAGATTACTCTCGCACTTTCTTCATCAATACTTGACTGGCGTGATTTTGCGAATGCTTTTTGTGCATCGAGGTAGTCTTGAGAACTTCACAGGAAAAAGTGATGTATGTTAGAAAGAAAACCTACTCGTTTTGGGAGAAAACCGTTGTTAGAATATTGCATATACCTGGCAGAATCAGAGCTATTTGTTATTTGCTGTTTCCTCCTACTTTCATGGCCATCATTGTTGGCCTTGCTGAAACCGGACCTTTCTCTAGCATTCCCTTTCCTTGCTCCTCCTTGCAATGCAGCTTTTGCCTGCGTATTATACACTTAAAACTTTTTAACACAATCTTGTTAAGCTTGACAGTCTTGGTGATTATTGTGATTCAGTAGCCATTGAAACATGGCATCATTGGATAAAAGCATAAAGAGAGATGAAACCTCAGCCAAATTTGAAGCACTGTCTTCCTGTGAAGCACTTGAGCTTCTCTCTTGTATCCCCAATCGAGATCTAGGGGTCCGGGGAGAATCAGAATCATCATGTTGGCCACGGAACACAACAGTTCCACTAGTAGATGCATCATCAAATGAAGCTAATGTGGTGCTAGACTGCACAAATAACAAACATGTTAACAGAGTCGCAGCCAGGTGTTTAAAATGAACAGTTCCACAGTTTCATCGTTACTCTAATATTGAATAGATGTCATACCAGAGTACTCTGATCTTGAAAAGAAGATGGTGACTGAGATCCTTTAGGAGTTCGTATAACTATAGTTCCAGAACCACTCACAGCCAAGTCATCCTGGGATTGAATTGTAAATAGCTTCTTTAGCAAAATAAACTGTACAGGGTATTCAAGATAGAGAACTTCAGAAGTAACCAGTTTTGGAGAAACAGAAACATAAGTGACAGTAAACAAATATTTAGAAGGACTGCTTAAAGTGGAGCAATAAAGTTAATAGCATAGTTTGTTTCTTTTTGGATTGAAACAGCATATCAGTCTTTTAAACCTTTAGCGGTGTATTTTCATCAAACCCTGTTGTAGTCATGAAAAGATAAATGCAGAATCTATTGTCCGGGAAAATGAGGTGCAAAATGTATGAGTTGAACAAATATATAAGAGGATATAATAGAATGCAATTAAGTTGTCTATTAGTGTAAAGGATAGTTTCGAAATGATATAGCTGCAGATGACACCAATTTAACATAGCCTGGCTTTGTAGTCTAAATTTCATCTCATAGAATATTTCGAAGATGCAGCAAATGAAAAACTTACATCATCATCTGGTTGTTCATCAGTATAATATGGCTCCCGGGAATCCTTTATGCGTGAAGGTTGAGTTGATTCCTGAAGTGCATTCCCAGACGAAGATAGCAAGTGGTTACCATGCTCCAAAGTCCCTCTTTGACTGACCTTATCAAATGACGCATCAACTTTCTTTTCTTTAACCTGAGGTGGTCTTAAAGCACTCCTAACAGTTCCCGTACTCTGTGATCCACCAATGCTGAAGTCCCACCCGGCATTTTTCAGGGGTTTTCTTGAACCACTGCAATATTAGGAGTATCATGCACTGAAAACAACAAAACTTAATCATTCAGATGTGAACATATAGACTAAACCGACCTGGCTTGAACAGTTCCATCTGCCCTTACATCCCTAGTCACTTTGACAGTATCAGATGCTTCGCCTCTTGCTTGGGTACCATTTCTTGGGCTGTCCCCGTCTTTAATTGGATATTTTGGACGCTCCCTATCAAGATTACAAGAGTAGCATCAATGCCATGCGTATGTTGTAGAATAATGCTGCATGACCCAAAAATCTTGTTTCCATTTCTTTGTCCCACCTGACATGTCAAACTTTTATAGGGTTAAGCTGCTACCCCAACACCCCATAGTTTATAATTCATGCTTGGACATGCCAAATGACATAAACTTCATTAACATTAGGTCGGATAAGCTTCTTGCGCGTAAATGTTGACCTTGAAGCATATTTGTTACTAAAGGATCCTTTAAGTTAGAATGTGAATGGAGAAACCTAAATCATACAGCGATACGGGACGAAACACAGGCCACAATGTTTTAGTTCTGTGCCTTAACAATCCTTGACCGAGACGCTAAAATGAGACAGCAAAAACAATTAAATAAAAGATAAGGGCCTAGAAAACAAGTGCTGATGACCAATACAATGACATGCAGGAAATACATCACACCTTATTCTCTCAACAAGCCTTGGGCTCTTTCTCACATTTCTAACAAATCTGTGCTTTAAGAGTTCCTTAGCACTTGGCCTCTGAAATAAAAAACAATGTATATCGTCACGGCCGGAAAAAATCTAGAGAGTCGGTTAAAATTAATCTAGAAATGTTCCATTACAAACAATTACAACCACTGCAGGGAAACCGAAAAGAACTTAATAGAACTGAAATCAAATACTTGCCTCAGCAGGAGCTTTCTTTAGGCACATAGAAACAAGCTCTTTCATAGGACGAGAAAAATGTTCATCCAGCTGTACCAAGTAATTGCTCATGTTCATTATTACAATTACAGTAACAGAAGAACTGCGGGAATACTAGGTGGGCAAAATAAATAACCTGTGGTGGATTTTCTCGCGGTATGATAAAAAGGACCCTCATTGGGTGCAGATCAGCAAGAGGAGGTTCCCCCTTCGCCATCTCAATAGCAGTTATCCCGAGAGACCAGATATCAGCCTGCAGAAAGTCGATGGTTCAGGTAGATACCTTTCATATGAAATAAAATAATAATATGATGAAGGCATATCTGAAACTAGTTGTTTATCTGCTCCCTGCTTTTTGCTTTTCTTGTTCTCTCTCTCTCTCTCTCTCTCTCTCTCTCTCTCTCTAACTGAACGAATGATCCAACGTTCAACTCTAAGGTGGATCTTTTCAATAATCTCTCACAATTATTAGATGAACCCATTTCTCCAAATTCTTTTTCTCCCAAGAATCTTAAACTGCTATTTAGTACCTTTTCGTTGTAACCTTCCGAATTCTGAATAACCTCTGGAGCCATCCAGAAGGGGGTGCCAACAAAAGTCTGCAAATATCGAGCAATCAGTTCACGGACTAATAAAAAAAAGTAACTACAGAAATAAGTAAATGAATAAGGTTGCAGTGAAAATTTCATAAAATGGGTAGTAAGAGAACACCCGAAGTTCAAACACGTAAGTATCACAATCCTTATTACTATGAATAAACTCTTGAATACTTAAAGTGTAAAATGGAGCACCTTTCTTCGGGAGATTGTTCTTGTAAGTTGTGCAGAAACACCAAAATCAGCAACCTGTCACATGGTCACAAAAGTAGGCATTAAATACTGAAATATATGCATATGGCAGTGCATATTATAGCAATCTAAAGATATGTTTTGAATTTAATGATCTTGCAGTGCTACATAAGCAAAGGATGATATACCTTGACATCACCATTCTCGCTCAACAAAATGTTTGCCGCTGTTCAAATTCAGATAAGTTGTCATGAAAACGATAAATTAAGGGAAAAAGAGAATGAACCAGTATAAATTAGCAGGACAGTGCTGCCAAAAAAGGGAATAGAACCTCAAGAAGATTTCTTAAACTCAATCTAGTAGAGACAGAAAATATTTATTGTCCCAAAAGTTTGCTGAGAAGTAACCAAAATTCGATGTCTAAAACCCAATCTAGTGATGCTAACACTCCTGCTTTGAGATCCGGGTTTGGGTGTGAATCATACTAATTCTAGTGATTTTGACATCTTGCTCTAAACCACACATTCAAGTTGCAGCAGTCGATTAATGAAAGGGAAAAGGGAATGAACCTTTAATATCCCTGTGAATCTTCCCTTCATTGTGCAAATATTCAACAGCATGAAGCAAATCACGCAAAATACAAGCAATTGAAGTTTCATCTAGTGGAGGACCCGATTGAAGCTGTAAAAGTGTAATATTTATAAGTACTGGAAAGTAATCAGACAGAGATAGATTCTGCAATCCTGGATAGAAGATGTAATGTTATAGTCAAGGCAACAACAGAAGTAAGTGATTAGAGTAACCTACAAGGTCTGCAACAGAGCCACCAGCCATGTATTCCATAATTATCCATAATTTAGTCTGCTGAAGATAGGAACCGTAATATTCTGTGATATATGGACACCGGCATTGTGACAAAACAGCAATTTCCTGTCAAATTTTGACATTACGACAAGTCAACCACTTATTTGACTGCATATAACGAAGTAGAAGGCTCGACTAGTATAACAGGCATAACAATAACTAAAAGAAAAACAAAGAGAAATTCAACTACCTTCTGAATGTCCTCAATGTCATCTTCGCTGCAATAGATTAAATATAAAGAAAACAGCTTAGAAATGTTAGAAAAAAGAGGTTCACATAAGCATTTGTCAGTGACAGAAAACTAGTATGGACAAGCAAACCATCACGGATTCCAAACTTTTCGTAAAAATAATTTATGTTTCATTTACTTGTTACCCCATTTAATCTACCAAAACTAATTTCGGTAGGGAAACAGAAATGACGGTAATATAATTTTCTGATTAGTCAGCATGCACTTGTAAAACCTTCTATGGCTAGAAATATGGCTAACGTCATAGGATTTATGTAAGTCTTTTGAGCATCAAGAATTCATTTGTTTCAAAATTAAGAAAGCAGATAACCAAGGAGAATTTCTTTCATTGGCAACTATGTGCCGTTAAATTCCAAATGAAGAGGAAACCACAGACAGTGCGCAAAGAGAAGTAGCAGAATTGGTGAACATATTCGTGTAACTTACGATTCTTCCAAATCAATAACTTTGATGGCTACTTCTTTGTTGAGCTCCTTATCAAACCTACAAGTTGGAAAATCACAAAGTTGTGTCAAGATAAAGATCTTAAGTAAGATCAAATTAGAGGACAAAAGAGGAGGTAAAATAAAAAGATCCTCAAGCATAAGATTAACCATTATGGTTTTGGATGAATTGAAAACATGATACTCTTTCAATAATTTTTCCTTCAATGTCTGGAAGTCTCTTTCTAGTCTTCATAAAAAATATGAACGCACTAAAAAGATAAGCTGAAATTGATTTCAATGATCTGCCATTATGGCTTTGGATGAATTGAGAAAACGACAATCCTTCAATAAGTTTTCCTTTTTTTTCTAGAAGCCTCTTTCTCCATAAAAATTATGAGCACAAAAAAGATAAGCTCAAATTGATTTCAACCAATAAAGAATGGCTACTGATGTTGAGCATTAAAAAGAGATCTGATATAAAAAGAACATTCAAAACTATCCAACCAGCAATTAAATACATAGGTATAGAGGAATACAAAAAGTAAATTTTCAAATATACAAATAACTTCAATAACCTAACTCTACACTCACTTCCTGATTATAGATGAAGAAACAGAAAAGAATGAAGGGAATTGCAGATTCAACCTCACATATTACCACGAAGTAAATAAGGACAAGTTTCAAATTCTGGTATACGGCAGCATAATCAGGGTAGAGAGCAGTTTCTTCACAGAGAACGGTCGCAACTTGCAAAACGAAAACCTTAATATCTTCACTCTTAATCCACAAATCTGAACCAACGGTGCTGGACATCCCATCATCATTGATGTTTCTACTCTTGTTTTTATGAAACATCTCACAATAAGCTCGACATGGAATTATCATCCCAAACAGAAGAGTTCTTCTTTCCAAACACTTAACAAATAACAAGCTACATTAACTTCTGTATGCTGTTGTAGATCGCTAATAAAAATGCCAGGCAATCATCTGCAGATGCAAGCTCTAAAAATGCACGAGAACAACTCAACTACTTAATTAAAGAACATGGTAGAAAATGTGCACCACATTATAGAACAAGGCACAAGATTTTCACGTAACTTACGCTTTATAAACATCTCCAAATGACCCTCTGCCAATCATCTCCAAGGAACTAAACCTAGTTCCAGCCGCCTCCATTAACCCTGCTGCATCTGTCATGGCTTACGAATCAAAAGCAACAAACGCGCCTCTTCCTCCACACCCTACCACCACTTATGGCACAATGTCAAGCGGAATATCTCCAAGATACGCCCATTCTCCAGTTTTATCGAATCAAACTCATGACCCATGAAAGGATCTCCATCAATTCATATTGCACCCCTCAAAGTACAGAACTCTGGGCAAAAAGAATTTTAGACAATTCAGTTAACCCCAGAAAAGATCTAGAGAAAATCCGTTTAAAACAAGAAACACAAACACAAAGGGGGGACTGCCAAAAAAAGTCTCTGTGTCATTTCCACACAATGCAACAACGCTATTCCACATTAGAAGCCAAAACCCCAAAGCCAGCGACGCGGACAGGAGAAATTCGACATCATCATGCCCCCCGTCCCTCTCCCCGCGCTCGCCGTTAGGTGAAATGAGAGTGTGAGGTAACCGTAAAGTGATGGCACAACACAACAATAAAAGCTTATGGCGGGCGATGTGCGACAGATTTCTCAGTAAATGACAACGAAACTACAACCGCCACCAGCGGTGGCTACAGACTAGCGTTCGTTCCTGTTCCCCGCCACCAATTCAATTGGAAAATGTTGAGGCAAATGTGCATCGTGATGGGAACGAGAATTCGTGTTACCTGCTAATGACTGAATCGACGAGAAGGGCGAAGGCGAAAGAGGACGGGCGTAATTCGGATCCTTTCAGCCGCAAAATATATATATGTTCAGAGCTCCTCTGTCGCTGAAATGGAGGCCTCCTCCTCGTCGTCGTTGCAGAGAGAAGGCATGTGAGACAGAGCTACAAAAGGGATCGCCCCTGTTTTATTTTCCCCTTAATTCCCAATTTTTCTTTTCTCCGTCTGTGGAACACTTGAATATTTTACTGGGTTAATTGCATGGTTGGTCATTGAGATTAAAAAAACGTTCATATTTGGTCATTGTAAATATTTAAATCCAATTTTGGTCACTCAAATTAGTTAAATGGTTCAAGTTTGGTCACTCTCCGTCCAACTCCGTTAAATTTGTCTGATGTGGCAGTCAACCTTCAAAGTTGACCGTTAACTCAGTGACGTGGCAATTAAAAAATAATAAATAAAATAAATTTTAATCTTCTACCATTTCCAACTCATTTTCACAATAAACAATAAAGTAAAATAAATAAAACAAAAAAATATTATAATTACAAATTGAAAAGGGCTCATCACCGATGACAACAACAACCACCACCTCTCCTCCGCCGTCGATGACAACAACCACCGCCTCCGCCGCCTGTACCAGGACCTCTCCGGTCTCCACCATCCTCCCCCACCGACTCGGCCCCGACGATCTCCTCTCCAAGGACGTTCCCCTGATCCTCGAGCGGCACAACAACGATCTCGCCCTCGTAATTCCCCCCTCTCCCTCTTGAGAACGGAAACCTAAATGGCGGCGGGGGACCAGTTATTGTAACAACACCCATTGTGTTGTTATTGTAACAACACTAGTCCCCAACCAATAGGAAGCTAGGATTGTGATGACTTTTTATTAAATGAGTTGACCTAGTGTAAAATCAAAGCAGGGGTATAATTGTCATTATGAAAATCTATTTAAATAAAAAAAATAAAAAAAAATAAAAAAAATAAAAATATTTTTTTTATTTTCTGCCCAAAAATTTGGTCGTCGGAATTCTGCCACCGGTCGCCGGAAAATGGTCGCCGGTCACCGGAATATGCTTTTTGTGGCCGGAATATGTTATTTTGTGGCCGGAATATGCTTACCGGAGTCGGAATATGCTTACCGGCGTCGGAATCTAGTCACCGGGGCCGGAATATGCCTATCGGCGTCGGAATCTGCTCACTGACGGTCACCGGAGTTCGGTCAACGGTCTTCGTTGACCGGTCAACAGTCAACGACCACCGGATGTTATGGTCTGCATTGTGAGATTTATGGTTTGGTTTCTCATATTTTTTATGCCTTTTATGGTTTGTTTTATTGTGTTTGTTGTTTGCATTGAGAAGTTTCTGGTTTGCTTTATCGTGTTTCTGGTTTGCATTGAGAAGTTTCTGGTTTGCTTTCCAAAGCTTTGTGGTTTGCATTATGAGGTTTCTGGTTTGTTTTAATATATTTGTGGTCTGCATTAGGACGTTTATGATTTGCTTTTTTGTGGTTTGGTTTACTGTATTTGTGGTTTGCATTATGAGGTTTTTGGTGTGCTTTCGCAAATGTTGTGGTTTGCTTTGTGAGGTTTGTGGTTTGTTTTAGGAGATTTGTGGTATGCATTAGGAAGTTTCTGGTTTGCATTAAGAAGTTTATGGTGTGCTTTCGAAACTTTTCTGGTTTGCTTTGCGAGGTTTCTGGTTTGTTTTAATATATTTGTGGTCTGCATTATGACGTTTTTTGTTTGCTTTACCGTGTTTGTGGTTTGCATTAGGGGGTTTCTGGTGTGCTTTTCAAAATATTTATGGTGTGTTTTGTGAGATTTCTGGTTTGTTTTAGGGAATTTGTGGCATGTATTGGGAGGTTTCTGGTATGTTTTTTATTGTTTGTTTTATCGTATTTATTGTCTGCATTAGAAGGTTTTGGTGTGCTTTAGAAATATTTGTGGATTGCTTTGTAAGGTTTTTGGTATGTTTTAGGCGATTTGTAGTCTGCTTTAGGAGGTTTTTAGTATGTTTTTTGTGATTTATTTTATCGTGTTTGTGATTTGCATTATCAAGTTTTTGACGTGCTTTTGAAAATTTTACAGACGGCAAATGCTCTCATTAGCTTCATCACATACTGAGTCAATGACCCACAATTCCCTTCGAACACCCTCACCTGCAAAAGTAAAAATAAAAAAAATTGATTCATCAACCATTGGTTCAAGAAAGAGGAAAGTTTGGATTGATCAAAAGCTAACTTGCAAGTCCAGCAGAAGAGGCACTTGAGTTTCCTCCACTTTAGCAGCCAGAGACAAACAAGCCACTACAACAAGTTGACCCCTCCATGGCTTCTCTCTTTGGAAAGTAAAGTTGGAAACGAATCTGTCGAAGTAATTGACAGCAACAACACAGGTTAAAGCAGTGAACCCATAATGTGATTTCACTTGCAAAATCCAGCCAATTGCATCTCTGCAAGCAAGCATCACACAGCTATCAGGCACACCACCGTTACTACGAAAAACAGATGCTTGTTTGTTATAGTATCCGCTCCCGATCGGCTAGGCAGCGATCCATCGTTATGGATTTGGCGGTCGAAGAACAAGACCCTGCCACCATTCGATTGAAAGCATTCCTAGTTTTGAAAGTTAGCCAGAAAAGAGAGAGTTAGGAGATTAATCAGTCAGTGACCAGTGTTTTCTTCTTCTTCGCTTGCACCGACTATGACTCTGTCATCGAGCTCTTCCTCTCCGACAAAAACATCACGGTTTCTTTCCCCCTCAACCATCTACGACCTCAGAAACCTCACCCACCGTTATCGAGATCTAACGCCGACGAAAAAGTGGCTGTAGACTCGTTCGATTCGGCGCCGGCGTCTGAAGAAAGAAGAAACGAGAGGACGACTGGCAACCCCGACGGAGAGAGAAAGAAGGAACGGCGGGGAGATAGAGGCCTCAATCGTAGCTTCCAGATAAATCGCGGTTCCGATCTGATGTTTGCCTGAGATCAGAGACAGGTTGACGCCTCTACCGTCGGAGTCGATAGCAGGGTGTTCCTGCGACGAGCGAACGGGAGGAGAAGCGGTCGCTGGGGAATGGTAGCGGAGTACATCGAGGACAGGTAGGGATTGAAATTTTATTTATTAATTTTAATTTGTTATATTTGGTTAGTTTTACCTTTTTGTCCTTGTTGTTACAATAACAACACTAAAAGTGTTGTTATTCTATCTGGACCCTCAGGGGAACGTCCTTGGAGAGGAGATCGCCGGGGCCGAGTCGGTGGGGGAGGATGGTGGAGAGGTCCTGGTACAGGCGGCGGAGGCGGTGGTTGTTGTCATCGGCGGCGGAGGAGAGGTGGTGGTTGTTGTCGTCGTCGGTGATAAGCCCCTTTTCAATTTGTAATTATAATATTTTTTCTTTTATTTATTTTATTTTATTGTTTATTGTGAAAATGAGTTGGAAAGGATAGAAGATTAAAATTTATTTTATTTATTATTTTTTAATTGCCACGTCACTGAGTTAACGGTCAACTTTGAGGGTTGACTGCCACATCAGACAAATTTAACGGAGTTGTACGGAGAGTGACCAAACTTGAACCATTTAACTAATTTGAGTGATCAAAATTGGATTTAAATATTTACAGTGACCAAATATGAACGTTTTTTGTAATCTCAGTGACCAACCATGCAATTAACCCATATTTTACTTGATTCTAATTTTTCCGCTAGCCGAATTTAGACACTAAAATTTTCATGTTTCATTTTGCAGTCCCTTGAACTAAGAACTATTTTATTAGAATCCTTATAATTTCTTAATTTGTTTAATGTAATTGTGTTCCATTTCCATTCAGTTACTGAATTTATTGGTGTTTCTCATCTATCTAATAATCGATTATCATCAAATAGCATTCTTCTGCCCTTACCATATTCTAGTGTTTGATTTTTTGCTTGATTTTGTTGTTTTAATCAACATTGTCCAAAAAGTCGGATTCAAATCTTTAACATCTCGGGTCATTGATGCAACAATGATATGTTGGTGTACATTGCTAATAATCCTGATAGAGATAATTGACACATTGTAAAATTTGAAGAATTCAAGACGAATAGATGGAACACCAACAAGCATTACAAAGAATTGTGAGTGAAAAACTTGTGTACTTGGTAACACCATTAAAGATTGAGATCTTAATCCCTTTTAATATATTTTTGAACAATGGTGGGAAAATTCAAAAGATTTGGAAAATTGATACAACCACTTATTACTGCACATGATAACATGAGTTAAATACCTCCTAACTTGATCATAGTTGCTAGATCTATGACACGAGGTAAGTCGAGTCTTATTAAGCTCGATCAACTCTAAATGTAAATGGATCGAATACAAAGTCAATCTGTCGACATGATACACATGATTTTTCTCCGACTAGTGAACAATTTTATTTAGGCAAAAAAAACTTAATTCCACAAATTTTTCATAAGTATAAATTTTCAAAATAATAAAACAAAAATTATTGACTTTTGATTTCGAAACAACGGCATAAAAAAAGACATATTGCTTATATGCATAGTGATATAAATTTTGAGTTGTGCTTGTAAAGTCTTCTTCTACGTCTTATCAAACACGTTCATCTTCCTCCCCTTCTTTGCAATGGCAACCCTATTGTAAACCAGTTCGGTGTACTGGCTAGTCTGTCTGAGAAGGGAAGTCGATAGGTTCCTCTACTTTTCACTCGTAGTCTATACTGTCATCTCAACGTTGAACTCATTTATGGTTTGTTTCAGTGCCCTCGTCCAAAACTTCATCATCATGGGGACATCGGTGATCTCAGGGCTCATGGTTTCCTTCTTCCTCTTCTCTAGCTACTTTATAGCCAAAGATGACATCCCTGTGCATTGGAAGTTCATGCATTACTTGAGCTTGTTCAAGTACCCATTTGAGTGTTTCTTGATCAATGAGTATGGAGGGGAGCAAGGAAAGGGCAAAATTGTCAATTGGATGGGAGTGGGTTGTTGAGGCAGCAAGGGCTTGTGGCCTCCCGAAAATGGACCATTTTTTATTTTGGTGATGTTGGGCTTTATGGTTGTTTACAGGCTGCTTTGCTATTTCATTTTAAAGTGTAGGTCTTCTAGATATTTAATGCAATTCTTTTGAATATACACACATTTACACTTCTTTTCACTATTCATATATTGATCGAGTTTAATTATAAGGGTGCAACATGTTTGAACTATAAATCAAGTGTTGTGAACCCAATTACAAAAATTGAGGTTAATTTGATTTTGAAATGAAAATTTGCAAACACAAATATGTCTAACTTCTTGCAAAAAATAATCAAATTAATGGGATTAAAAGATGAAATGCTCACTTAACTTTTTAGTGAACATGACAAGATATTCACTAAATTTTAAAAGGAAACAAAGTAATTACTAAAGTCCAAACTTATTCTCAAAACAAGTACATAAATACGATCAACTCACTATTGGACTATAATATTATACGTTATCTGGATAAAAGGAACAATTCTTGTGTTTGTATCTAGTACTTGTCCACTTTTTACATGGAAATAATATACTAGTGCTAGGATCATACTTTTAAGTCACTTTGGCTAAGGGAACAACTCTTGCTTCATATATCATGTTTCATCTTTCGATATACCTCGTAACGACCCCCTCAAGGATGACCCCTACTCGATTATCCCGGGTATCTGCCTGACTAACTTTATCAATGATCACTTTAGCATCCCTTCCAAACTTGTCTCTGCAAACCCATTCTCCAAACACCAGAGGATAGCCTCGCGGAGAACAAGGAGCTCAACTACCATAGGGTCGTCAATATCAGCAAACTGCACCCCTTTTGCCAGAAGGATCATTCTGTGTAATTGGTTCTCGATAATCATTCCCCCCACACTTAGTAGCCCCATCGCACGTGCAGAGGCGGAGGCAACTTATTAGGAGGGGGTGCCGGTTTGGGAGAACAAATTTAAAATAGTATATTATAATGTTTATAATAAAACCTTGTACATGGAAATTGGAACCACATTTTTATCGTCACAATATCACTAGGTGAACTTATTGTGGTAGTATTTAACTATGTTTCCCTGTTCAATTCCATTCAAAAATTTCCTCTCCAATATGAATGCTAAGTCGCTCAACTCTACCTTTCCATTTAAGTGACTTTTATCGGCTATCCATGAGCACTAGAGAGTCTTTACCGTAACCTGCCATGGATTGGAATGATTAACAAAATTATGAAGCACTAGTCGGTAGGATATATTAACAATAAGGTCTTTGATAGTTTAGATGAAAAATATATATAATATACAAGTTTTATTAGAGCAGAAAAACGTTGCGAGTCATTGCAAAAATTAATAGTTTTTCATATAAAATATATTTATTTAAAAAATTTGGCACCCCTTATAATAAATCCTAGCTACGCCACTGTCCAGGTGCAGATAATTAAGTTAGGGTACCACCAAAGAAACTCATTTATGGGATGGATGATCGGACAACACGATCCACTGATAATGTTGGCACCCCTTAAAAACCAAAACTTTCGTGAGCTCAAAGTTTAGTGATTTGTTAATGTAATTGACCGTTTGGGATTAGCAGGCAGACCATTGTTTTACAAGTCATTAGTTTATTAGTCATCATGCCGATAATTAAACCTCAACAAACCATTTTTCTCTCTCATCCCACAATGGAAAAAGTGGAATAACAGCCCTCACTCTGCTCTCCCTGAAAAGTGGTTACAGCGAGAAAGAAAATGACTGAAATTTGGAGAGAGAGAGATTGCGACTTTGATGATGGATGTTGTTGGCTTTCGGAGGAGAAGCAACTCGTGGGAGGGGGTAGCCATTGTTGCCGTTTGTTGTTTCTTTCGTTTTTTCCTTCATTGTAAAGCTTCCCCTTTACTAATCGGGGGACCATGATGAACATGTGGATTCCTAAAACTTCCCATACGCTTCTCCTACTCTGCTACTGTTCATTTTCTCCCTCTCCGCGACTTTGATTCATCCGCCAGCCAGAAAGCAAGGCGAAGGCTAAAGAAAGTGCGTGAAAATTGGGTTCGTGGGCCGGTGCTGGAGATAAGAAATTTGGCCCTCTCTGCCTCCATTTTCTCATCCTTTTCGTTGTAAAAAAGATACCCACTTTTTCCCACCCCACCAAGCAAGCAGAAGCTCCCCTGTTCTCCTTTCCCTTCCATTTCTTCTGGGCTTACTTACGTTCTCTGCCTGTTTCCCCACCCCATTTTTGGTGCGTTTTTGCGTCGGCAGAGAACCTTTTTCCTTAACGTTTGAGAGGGACAATTTCAGTTTGTAGATTAGAACAAAAAACCCAAAACGGCAGACTGGTGATTTTTTTTTTTGTTTGGGCTGGTCGCTTGCATGGTCAGTTTCGGATCAAATTTTGTTGTTTGAGCTGTCTCCTACCCGGGTTTGTTGTTTTAGGTTTTAGCGATCCTCACCAGGTGAGAAAGTTTATATCTTTCGATTCCCTCCATCCTGCATTCTTCGATCTTCACGTTTTTTGTTTTGAGGTAAGAGATGAAATTAAGTCTACTCATGAATTGCTTGTCTTTTCTTCATCCTTTTTCCCGCTCTTCTAATTTCTTCTTTTGGCTTGGGATACTCCGCCAGGCGTTTGAAGGTTTTCCCCTTACGAGACAAACTGGAACTGGATTCTCTAGTCTTGTTGGGGTTGTGGCTTCAGTGGCATTTTGCAAATCTGCTTAAAGTGCTTGCTCACTCCCTTCATCCCGGCCTTTCATGCATTTATCCACTTCACAAGGTAACAACTTGGCTCTGAGTCACAATGCTTGATTGGGTTTGGGGGATAATGTGGCTGGAAAGTTAGGATCGATGGCCCGTAGATCTTGTTGTTGTAAATCGGTAGGAAGTTGGGTAGATGCATTTGTCATGGTTGCTCCCTTCATCCCGGCCTTTCATGCATTTATCCATTTCACAAGGTAACAACTTGACCCTGTGTCACAATGCTTGATTGGGTTTGGGGGATAATGTGGCTGGAAAGTCAGATCCATGGCCCTCAGATCTTGTTGTTGGAAATCAGTAAGAAGTTTGGGTAGATGCATTTATCATGGTTATGAAATGGCGGTGGATTTTGGGGAAAGGATGCATGTTGAGAGAGGGTTCAGATGTTTCGTTATGTGATCTTTTACTCTTTGGTGAACTGTGAGGCTGTATCTGCATTGTGGAAGGGTAGGCTATTGAATGACATGATCTCTACTCTCCACTAAGCTAGTTTATCTGGCTTTTTGATTGATTGCACCACGTCACCACCTGGTGGTTCAACCACCTGCATTGTTTACCTTGTTCCTGCCAGTAGAACATACAGATTATCATCGTTCCTGTTTAGCTTAATGTAGATGTGCTGTGTGTACTATCTTTGCAGTTTGTGTAGCAATTTTTAGATTGATGATCGAATTTTCATCCTGTATTAGGTTTGGAGTGTAAACATGTGGTGAATGTCCCAAGTTAATTAAGTATAACATAGTGATTATAAATAAGATAACCATTATGGCAAAGAAATCTCAAAGACGTCCAGCTGGAAATGCAAAGCCAGGCTGCATGTGGGGCCTAATTAACATGTTGGATTTCCGCCATGGGCGAGTTACTCAGAAGCTGCTCCCAGATAAGAGACTCGAGAGCAGGCATGTTCCTGGTATGTACTATCTCACGCTAGATCCACATTACATGAATCATAGCACGTAATGGTTTAGCGGTTTCAATGTATTTCTATAATTATGGTTGTTTTCCATATGCTTGTCATCATCAATATCATACTTATCTGTGGTTCTCAAAATATCCCCTTTCCTTTTTTTTTTTTGTTATAGGGCATGGATATGATACTACTAAGCATGACTTGTCACCGAATTCTGATGAAAAGACATCTGTAAGTGTGGGTCTTCTACTTAAACGAAGCTATTTTCCTTTTTTTACGTTACTCGATATTTAAGTTCGTTCGTTACTACAGGATGGTAAAGGCAATCTTGTTTTGAATACTGAGTTCCGCAAGCCAAGTGTCAAGAAACTCATAGAAGAAGATTTGCTAAATGAGCAAACTTTGAAGAGTGAGATAAATGACAATCAGATACAGCCCAAATTAGAACAGGAGGAGCGACAGCGAAAGAGGAGCAGCAAGAGAACAAAGAGGGGTCGTTCAAAAAGTTATGAAATACATGTTGAAGATCTGAATGCTGCAGACATTAGGGAACATGAACAGCCTTGTGCTCAGAAGTTAGCGAACCAATCTAGTGACAGTCTTTATGTAGGTGAAATAATAGAGGAGTTCTGCCATCAGCTCCATCAGAAAGGTAGTAATTGCATAAAGCATGGCGAGGATTGTGAATTCCATCATCCGAAACAGAGTAACATAAATTTTGAAGAGAGATTGAGCGAGGCCCTTAATATTTTTGTCAGACAGAAGCATCCAATTGAAGAGGAGAATATCCCCAGCTCCAAAGAACTCACAGATGCTCTTCACATATTGTGTTCAGATGAGGAATTGGCTTCAAGACTCTTACTGGGTCAAAAGTCAATGATAATGAAGCAATTGGAGAAAGCATTGATTTCCCAAGTAGAAAATGATGACTCAAAGTCATTGGTAGGAAGTAGTACCATGAAAGAAGAGCATGAACCTGTACTCAGAAAGCATAGGAGATTCTTCAGACGAAGCAAGTCCCTTGCAAACTTCTCTTCTGAGGAAATTGATACATTTCATGCTTCAAATAGGATTGTCATATTGAAGCCTGGGCCTACCAAAGATGCTACTGGCTCCTTGAGGCAGTCTCAAATGACTGCCGAAGACGAGTTGCCAAATGAAAGGGGAAGTTCCCATTTTTCCCTTACTGAAATAAAAAGGCGCTTGAGAAATGCTATGGCGAAAGAGTCAAGGAATGTCTCAACTGTTAAGAGATACACCAATGAGGCGTGGGCCGCAGGAGATGGTGACAGAAGAAGGTTCAAAGAGAACACTGGAAAAAGTTCTCCAGGCAAAGAGCACTTCTTTATAGAAAAGGTCGCGAGACTCCCTCCCACTAGTCCCAAGAAGTCCAAAGAACCTGAACAAAGTATGCAAGATGAGGATGGCAAACCTATTAAACAGAGTGTATCTGATATATATTTAGAGGCTAAGAAACATCTTTCAGAGATGTTGATAACTGGGACTGGGGATGTAGACTTCCCAAGCAGACAATTCTCCAAACCGCTGGGGAGGATCTTGTCATTTCCAGAGTACAACTCTTCTCCTTTTGGCAGTCCTGGAAGAGATTCGGAACACAGTTTCGTTACAGCACGAATGAGATTGCCCAACATTGACTCATTAGGTAGACGGGAAGGCAATATCAGCCATCTAGGTGAAAAATCACTGAGCTCAGATGCACCTTCATCTGATATTGAAGCACAGGCTCCTACGGACCAAACTTCAAGTTCCTCCAATGAACTTGTTCATGTTGCTGAAGTGGAGAAATCTGTTGGTTCCATGCAAGATGAGATGATGACTCAGGGTATTTTGTTGTCTTACTCTTATATATGTAATACTCATCGGGCTGTGCCTCTGAGATACTAATGTGGGAAAAATCTCTGCAGGATATGTGGAGATTGAAGAGGCCTCTGAGATTATTATTGCCCCAGAAGAGGGCAACGTCATCAATAATCTTTCTGAAACAAGTAGCTGTTCCGTCATCATTAATGACCAAAATGGCGTTGACTCATCTGAAGTTAGAGATGAGAAAGCTGATACTGAGCCCTTGGAGCATGTAATGCAATTTGGGCTTGATCCATCAAACTGCTCTCCTGGCTTTCTCTGCTACTATGTTGTATTCTTATGTCATTGTTTCTTTACAGGAAAGTTCTCCATTTGATTCTCCATCAAAACGGAAGCATGATGATTTGGAAGCTACTGATGTGCCAGACCGTCCAAGTCCGGTGTCCGTCCTTGAGCCATATTTTTCAGAGGAGGATGTTAGCCCGGCGGCTACCCGAACCCAACACGGTAAGTACTGATAGTGCGCAATGTTATCATGATCTGGATTTTAACGTCCATCGATTTGTTAGGGAAAGCAGGATCGTGACTTATAGGTAGTATCTTAAATTGTAGGCGTGCAAACAGCCCTGCTTATTATGTTATGCATTGGCTTCCAAACTAAAGTCTCTTTTTGCTACATGTCTGTTCAGTTGAACTGTCATTGCAACCACTAAGAATCGAATTTGAGGAACAAGGATCTTCATCTGGGGATCACGTTGCCCCTTCAAAAACCACGGATCACGAGGACTCCATGCTCAAGTACATAAAGGATGTACTGCTAGACTCTGGCTTGAACTGGGAGGAGTTCTACTTGATGTCCGATTCTTCCGACCAGATTCTCGACCCATCTAGTTGTCACGAGCTCGAGTTCTACCCTAACCAGTTTTGCAATGACAAGCAGCTTCTCTTCAATTGTATCGACGAGGTTCTAATGGAGGTATACGATTTCTATTTCGGTTCATCACCCGGATTGTCTTTGGGAAACCCTGCATCCACCCGCCCTATCCCCGACATGAACCACACCATTGACGAGGTGTGTGAAAGATTGCATTGGCACCTTCGTCCCTTGCCATCACCTCGTACTCTGGATCAGGTTGTGAAGAGAGACATGGCCAAAAATGGTTCTTGGATGGACCTTCGACGTGATTCAGAAACTGCCCTTGTCGACATTTGTGAAGACATTTTCGAACGCCTGATTGAGGAAACGGTGTTTGGCCTTTCTAGTTAGAAAATGACAGCAGCAGCAGCAGCATATGCTTGTGAAAAGAAACTTGTGCTTGTGTTCACGTTTACCTTACTGTGGGATTTGTTTTTCACTAACTTGGCCTTTGACATACATACGAGCATATCACATAATCCCCCGGGAACGATCATGATCTGATCGTTGTTTCGATCGGGAAAGGAAGTGTGCAAGCTGAGGGTGGCTCGCGCTCTTCCTTAGTGTTGATTGTAGAACTGAGCTAGTAGTGGTAGTAAGATCCCTTTTGGTGTGGTTTTCAGAGTTCTCTTCTTGTTGAATTTACAGGCAGTGGAGTTACTATGTGTAAACATGAGGTGTGAATTCTTATTCTTATGGAGGGATGAGAAATTAATAAAACAGGAGATGGGAGTTCTCCAACTCGGTTCCATCATCCATGCATGTGTTACTCCATTATCAGTTTACAGTTTGACCTGTTGTTCACAGTAGCAAGCAGTGTACAAGTGCAACAATGGAGTGCAGTGGTGGAACTTAGTGTATTGCATGAGGGCTAAAGTCTTCTCTCAACTTTCATCTAATGTTATAATTTATGTATTCATATCCTGAGAAACCATAAAAGGAGCTATTAGTCGTCTCTTCCAAGATTTATGTTCAATGGTAGGAAATTGTGGTAATTTGTTATCTTCATCCGCTCCTCACTCTAATTACTGACTTCGTCACTAATGAAGTGCAAAGCCAATAAAATTCCGAACATTTTTTTTCATTTTCTGGTTCATCGCATTTTAAACTACATTACTACCATCTGCAACTATGAGGGATCGGAGCAGAGAAATCATCGAAGACGACTTTCACTTAACATTAGGAGATTATAACACTAATCTTTAAAAAAAAAAAAAAGAATGGACGTGAACCGAATGACAATTTTGTTATTTCGTGATTATTTACGCTACCAATTTTTCATCTTTTAAAATTTTACGATTATGTGACCATTTTCGTCAATTAACCTTGATATATTTGAATCTAGATTGGTGCCGTAATAAAGAAACAGCTCATCAGATTAACATGTTGAAACGTTTGACGTTAAAAGAAGAGATCCGATTTAGTAAGCAAATTGAATGCAATATATTATGTGCAAAATAGTTGCTCCATCGAGAGAGAACATGGAACTGTTACAAAAAGAAAGCTAACACGTACGTCAATAACTTTTCTCTATAAGTACGAATCAGGAGCTATGCTAAGCCAACTTAAAACTTGGTAATTATTGCTCTAATGGAGAAACGGCAAAGATTTCTGCCCGTTTCCTTCCTCTTCTTCTTCTTCATTACTCTCGCCGTTTGGTTCGCTTGTCCAGAGATCGGAGCAGCCGACGATCATCGAACGACGGCGAGGGCAAGGCGTGACGCGCGTGAGCACCACCGCCACAACGGGCACGTGAAGCTGTTCGTTTTCGGGGACTCCTACGTGGACACGGGGAACTTCGAGCCCAACAATGGTTCCTGGCTGCCGCCGTTTGGCCGCACTTTCCCCGGCGCCCCCAGCGGCCGCTTCTCCGACGGCCGCGTCCTCACCGATTACATTGGTCCTCTCTCCCATTACTCTATTTTCATCAAATACATATTGCTATAAATCAATTAGTTCTAATAACTCGAGTTGTAATCGTTGTATAGCTGATTTTCTGGGAATAAGGACGCCGATCGCTTATCAACAGATCAGAGTAGGCAACATCAGCGAGCAGCTGAAATCCGGTGTGAATTTCGCATGCGGCGGCACCGGCATCGTCAGCGCGATCAGCAAGGGCCCGATCCTCGGCGACCAGATCAGTCAATTGGGCCAGATGATCCGACACCGTTTCTACAATCACACCGACCTCAACAATTCCATAGCAATCGTGGCTGCCTCCGGCAACGATTACTTATACGCCACCCTCCAGGTGATCTTCTACTCATAATTATAATTTCAAATTTGGTAACTCGTACAAATGTAATCTAGATTGATGAAATATATTAAAATTAATTTAGACCGTTAATTACCTAAATAGCGATAAAGTTAACAAGAAAATATGGTTTTTGTGACGTAACAATTAAATAAGAAGCGTTACGTAGAGAATTTCGGTAATGAATGATGAATTCACGTGCAGAACGCAACGGCGTTGACGAGAAGGGTGATAAAGCAGCTGAAGACAGACCTTGGGCGAATCCGTGACGAGATTGGGATCCCTAAAGTGGGCGTGTTGCTAATGGAGCCGGCCGGATGCTTGCCAAACAGCGCCGGCCCTTCCGCCATGTACAGTTCCAAATGCAACGACGCCTACAACGCCATTGTCAGAAACCACAACCAGTTGTTGAAGCAAGCCGTTCGAGACCTGATCAAGGAAGCTGCTAACAACAAGAAGAATGGTACCTTCATCGTTTTGGATCTCTTCCAGGCCTTCTCCATCGCACTCGAGGAGCACAAATACCACACAGGTACGCAATTTATTATAACTATGCCAAAATGTGTCGGCTGTTTTCAGTTGTCATATAGATGGCGCACTACAAGAAACTGGACCCCTTTTGCGACAAAAATATCCCTCGCCAAAATATCGATAATGCGTCACATGCCACGCCGCCCTAGGTTTTCGTGACGGAAATGGTTGTATAGTCGCAAAATCCGTCGCCCTTCTGCGACAATAGGTGCGTCGCAAATGAAGGATTTTGCGACAAAGGTTCATCGTCGAAACTTCTGAGAGGAGTCGTCGCGAGTACACACCTTTATGCGCCGAATCACATCTCTAAAGTTTAGACTTTCCGCGACGAAGTGTTTCGTCGCAAAAAAGACTCTATGCTAAGCTATACCTTTTGGCGACGACTTCTTTCGTCGCTACTGACCACTTTTAGCGACGAAAACATTTGTCCCGATGCAATTGTAGCTTTTTCGCGGCGAAAAAATTTATCAATAACCATTTGCGCGCTGTAAATTAAATTGAAATACACAGAATACTTTTCTGTGGTGGAACAATATGATATACGTTGCTGCATGGATGCAGGTAGCTTGAAGTACAAGAATCCACTGAAGCCATGTCTGACCCAGGAGCACGGGAAGTACCCGTGTGGTGTAAGCCACAACCAAAACTCGCAGGTTAGGGTTTGCAAGCACCCAGAGCTGGCCTTCTTCTGGGACTGTAACCATCCAACCCAGAACGGCTGGGATGAGATTTATTTGGCTTTACAACATTCCCTCTACCAATTTTATGATACTGAGTAGCAGCAGTTCACCAATGAGATCTCTTGTACGCACGTACTAATGATCATCATATATATGTATAGATATCGTTCGGCGAGATATTTCAATTCTGGATTGTGACGAAATCGAGTTATAACATCATGAAATGTAGATCAAGTCATGTAAGGTACATTGAGAGATCGAGAATTCTATTGTTCAGTGAGCTTGAGTTAAGTTTCACTTCTGAAAGAAAGACACAACAATTTGTTGGGAAAAGATAGATGAGTACGAGAGCAACCAATCGAGGCGTGTGGTATTTTTTCGTCTAAATCAGTACATTATGAATGAATACAAATCGAAGTATGAAACCAGTAGATGCTACATGTGACATAAATAAAAATGAAAGAGTATGCACATATGCTTATTACTCAATCTCCCATAATTGATAGTGGAATGAGTTAATACACCATTATTTTTCTTTGTAATAAAATCAAGTATAAAAACAAGCTTAATTAAGTTTTGTATACAAACATGATGAGTAAATGTATGATATAAGCAATCAAATACATGAAATCATTGAAGCTTATTCTTATAGGTATATATGAAGCATATTACAAATTGACTTTCCCCCTTTTCTTTTCTTTTATTTCATTTTGTATGTTAATAGTTTTTATAGCTTCAAGTTGAGGTCAACGTTTTCAAGTTTATGATGATGATGATCACCACCACCGTTAGAATTGATGAGGGAACTTCGCCGTTCATCTTCTACATTAATCACTTTGTGGGGGAAGCTGCAGCCGTTGTGGCAAATCCCCTGCTGCTGCGGCTGCGGTTCCAGCTGCTGCATCATCTGTTGGTTTTGTTGTTGATATCTTGCTCTTGAGTCACCCGCCATTTGATCTTCCATTCCACCCTTTAACAACACCAAAAAAAAAAAAAAAGATCGTTACTTTGAGCGAAAAATTTGGTTTGTTTTAGATAGATAAGGAATGAGAAAATAATGTTGTCTTACTCGGTGATGGTGGTGGTGATGGTAGTGGCTGTGGAGTGAGGATGAATCGAGTTCGAACTTCTTAGTTGTACGATGAAAGTGTGGATCGTTGAGCCTAAAATTACTCGAGTTACACCCTCCGCCACTGCCGCCGACGACTCCACCGGCGGCGGCTCCGGCTGCTGCTGTTGAGCTAGGAGGAGGAGCTGTGGGGGGAGCTAGAGTTAGAAAATCTCCCGGGAACGTCGTCACCGATCCACTCTCTCTCATCGATCTCCTAGGATCGGCTTGCCACGTCACGTTCCAACCCGAACACCCGTCTCTGCCCGGCATCATAGTCAGTAAAATACGGTACGGTACAGTAAGTTTACATATCTTTAAATTAACGATACGGTTAATGATATTTTGAAACGTAACTTTTTTAAACGTATAAAATACATGCCTTTCATATATTTGCGTATTAAGCGAAATGGAAAGTGGAGGAGAAAGGAGCAAAACCTAAAATAGTGGGTAGGGGAAGAGAAGTTGAAAACTGGGCCGGAGCCGAAGTTGAAGGAGGAAGGAGACTCGTGGTGGTGGTGGTGGTGAACCACCGACGGGAATGGCGGCGGCGGCTGCTGCGGCTTGTTGTGGTACATGAAGTTAGGATGTGGGACGTCCCCACTCTCGTTGCTGCTCTCCTGCTTGGTCGACGACAAGGGATGCGCTCTCTTCATCCCGACCTTCTCCTCCTCCATCGGCGGCCAGCCAAAGCTCGAAAAGTTGCTGTAGAAGCCTTGGTTCGTCGCCGAGGAGGGTGGCTCTATGTGGAAGTTTATGACCGAGGATGACGACGACGAAGTAGTTGCCGGTATTGGACCATTCATCTACACAAAAATATCCAATTTGCTGAGTTGAGTGCGGATTAAAAGTGGGTAAAAATCCTATGTTGACAGGTTCTGAGTTGAGTGCGGATTTTATCTCTTTTGAAATTGAAAGGGCTAGATCGGATTTGATTTTTGCTAAGCTCAACGTATTTTCACTGACACGCATCTAAAAGCAACAATAATGGATAGTTTAAAAAATAATTTTGCTAAGCTCAACCTATATTTGTAAAAAAAAAAAAACATTCCAATAGCATTACCATGTGTTCGTAAAAATAATAGATAGTTATATTCGTAAATCATTTGTCCCGTCTGTTATTCGTAAATTCCAACTCAATCCATTACCATCTCGATCATGTAAGATATATATATGATGTGGATTGTCGTTTGATTATTACCATGGAGGAATTGTAGGAACAAGTGGTGGAAGATGGTGCGGGCTGCTGGTACTTGTGATGAGGAGGCGGTACAGCTTTATGAACCAGCTGGCAGGGGAGGAACCAAAGCGAGTTAGGGTTTGAATCATTATTGTTGTTGTTGTTGTTATACGGAACGTTTGAGCTTCCCGACGACGAAAATCCACTCCCGCTGTAGTCGTGAGTCGACGATGAGAAGTTCCACGTCGGCATCGCCACGTTAGAATTCCCCCCGCCGCCTCCGCGGCTGCTGGTACTTCCTCCTCCCGCTGACGTAACAACAGAGGGAACAGAGATTGATTGCTGCGGGTCCCACTCGTGGAGGCTCGACGGCGGGATTGTAACGGTTGTCGTGGAGCCGTAATTGTTAATAGCGTCGAAGCTCTGACGGTGTCTGTTATTGTTGTTGATGAGCATCGGGTTTTGAAACAACGGGTCCACAGATTGGTTGTGGTGGAGGAGCGGTAGGTGATTGTGTCCGTTGCAAGAGGATGACGGGGGCGGTGGTGATGTCATTGAAGGAGGGACAGGTGTCGGCGCCATGAAGGTGGTGGCGGAGGAAGAGCTGCCGCCGCTGTGGTGGTGGAGGTAAGGGTGGTGGTGGTGGTGGTCGGATTTTGTATGTTGTTGTTGTTGCTCTTCCAGCCTGATTCTCTCCAATTGCGCCACTCCGAGTCCTCGCTGGGGGACTTTCTGCTTCTGTTTCTGTTTCTTCGACGACCGGCCGTTTCCGCCGCCGTCGAAACCGCCGTGGCTTGTTGTGGCGCCGCTGGCGCTTCCCGTGGCACTGTTGTTGTTACTGTACGTGTAGTTCTGGCTCAGGATTTCGTCGTCCGGACCCATTTTGGCGAGGTAAAAAGAAGAAGGAAAAAAAAAAAGTGTTTCTTTTGTCGACGATGGATATAATCTGTTTGATTTACGTTATGAGTTGTTAATTTCTCTCTTTTGTATGACTCTTGTATTTATTGTTTCTTCCTCTTGAAATGGTGATTAGTGAGTGGAAAACAGAAGAAAAAAAGAAGAGAGAGGGGAGTTTGGGTGAAGAAATGTTGGAGAAACAAAAGGCAAATCTAAAGGCATAAAAAGGGATTCAAATGTCGAGAGAAAATAGGGGGGAACCGAATTCCGGGAGACAGAAATTTGAGGCAAAATCTTCGCTCAACTTTTTGCAGATAGACTCTTTCCACGGATCTCTCTATCTTTGTGTCTCTATTTTTCGTCATGTCTGCGATGAAGTGGGGGAGTGAGTGACGTGTGTGTTGAAAGTTTTGGAAAATATGGAAATTAGAGAAACCTAGATTTGATTTTGGCTCAATCTTGGGGGAGGGTAAGAGGCTATTCCCAGCTTTGGTTGTTAGTACTTCTAGACTAGATTTGGCTTTCTTTGATAGTTTTCATGTGTCGGCCACGTATCGTGGAGTCGGGCTATTGTATATGCTTATCTAAGGACGATTAACGAGAATGCATGTTTACGTTGTTGGACAGTTCTCATAGTTCCATACGAGTTTTCAAATTGTTGGATCAATTGGATAATACATTAACATTCCACTGATGTCAGCATTTACAGACTAATAGCTTCTGGTGTTAGAATATAATAGATTAATAGTCATATTGAAAAATAAAGAATGTCATCATTATGATTTATGAATTATCTCAAATTAACTAGTGTTTGACAATAACTAGTGATCAGTGATCAAATGGTCGTGCATTCGAGCACCGATGTCACTTAATGCCACGACACTGTTCCTTGCAATTGCATGCATGTTTGCCGTTCAAATGGTGGCTCAGGCAGTCACATTGCATGGGCCTGCCAGCTACTTCGCTGCTAGAATGGGCCTTTTTGGGCCGTATAACTTGGGTCAGTTTCCGTCAATTACCTCGCGTGGGCTGGGCTTTTCCATTGTACGATTGTATCAATCAATATGACTATCTGTTGAGTATGACTCCTAAACTGAAATTTGGAAACCCTTTCAAGTTGCTTCTTATCTAATAAAATACACTTTTCTCACTGATCAGCAAGTATTAGTTCTCAGTCAAGAAGAATCTGGCAACAAAGGTAGCTTCTCCGCTGAATAGAGCGATCCATTGCTCGAGAACTCATCATCATGATGTTCAGTCTCGTTTGAGACGCGACTGGGTTTCCCATTACGAACCTGATATGGTACGACTCGTACGCGCTCCTCTGGCCCTCTGCCGATTTTCTCAGACTGTAATTGGTAATTCTTCTGGATGAACTCCATCTGGAGATTGATAATGTGGGATGGTCTGGGCAGTAGCTCCACAGGCTGTGCTGTCGGGATCACCACTTGTTCGATTGCTATCCTTGCCTCCTGCAGAACAAGCAAAGAATGTTTGTGAAATCGTATAGGTATAATGCCAAATTTGCGAAGAAAACCGTAATAAATCCATGACCGATTGGTCAGCGGGACATGGTTAACCAGGCAGCCGATTGATACCACAAGGTATCAATGAGACTGCTCAAGAAACTCATTGGAGTGGAGGCAAACATCGACGTTCACAGCAACCTTACTATTTTCCCCGTTTCTTGAACTTCAGGAGTCGATTCAGCAGGCACTTATTTAGTCTTTAATTTTAAAACACAGAAGTTAACAATAGAGGGCACAATAAAATACCTCTAAAGCATCCATCTTCTCCGAAGATTTTGCGTCATTGTCGAATCCAAAATCCTTGAATCCGCCTTCACGATCATTGACCAATGCCCTCATGGCTTTTGTTATCTGGACTGATGAACTTGTCTATAGCAGCAGCCACAAGAAAAGACGATATCAGTCGCAAATAGCATTTGGGTGGTCAATCACAACGCAAATGGCCAAAAATGGTTCTTTCAAATTACCTTTGTCACATATATAGGTATGTTGTGTGATTTAGCTGCTGCTTGAATTCTGGGATTCTTCTTGATTTTCGATTGCAAGGCAAGAAGTGCATTAGCCTCGCTGATGTTATCAGTTAACTGAACTGCAGCCTCCAGCTGATTAATCACTTGTATTACGCTTGCCTCCAAGATCTAGAAGTAACTGCTCATTCTGTAAATTTTGTAAATTAACTTGTACACATGCATCTTATAAGTGAAGACAGTCATGGAAATGCAATGAAGTAAAGTTACAAAGAAAAATTTACAGATTCTTTTTGAAGACAAGATTTCATTGATCAAAACAATGGATTCTATTTCATGAATACGTGACAACTACAGTATGTATTATTTCAAACAACTTGGCAGCTACTATTGTGATAAATTCTGAAAAGCACACAACAAGATCCTGAGCATCCTGTTTCATAACATGTGCAAAACTGATCTTAGTTAGAAGCCCCTAGTTTAGACCTGACTGAGAATAATAGTACTAAAGAAGACAAATAATATCATACCAAAGCAAAGAACAATACCCCAACTAAAATGCAGCTCTGTGAATACTACAGCTTCTATATTGTTAAATTCGATCGTTAGACTAATACTTTTTCTTTAATCTACTCTTGCCATTTGGCCACTGCAAGAACTTCAACAAAGAGACTGAGAATGACATGATGGTCTTACCCCGTAGACATATAGGTGAAAGGGTGCATTGCCTTCTGAAGAGTGGGCTGAAATGCTTAGCGGAGACTCAATTGTGAATTCACGCCCACTGAGATAATCATCCATCAACCCGAGACCTTCATGAGAGATATCAGGCTTATTTTCAACAGACGCCTCTGTATATGGTTCCATTTCTGTAGTTCCCTCTGAATCCTCCAACCTCATCTTGCGTACTTCAACGACAGGGGATCGGCCTTTCCATGAAAAGAATGGCAGTGGGAAGGTGGTAAGAGTTGGTTAAAACTTAAAATAATCAACAGAAAGTTCACCACTATCAGTTGGGACCAAGTTCTGAGTATCGTGTTCCAACGAAAGGAAGAAGCTCACCTGCTAGGATTGCATCTACTGTTGATTCCAGATAGCGATGAACTCGCAGCTCAGTTTTAGAAATTATCTCAACGCCACAAGCGAAGGTTGATGGTCCTTTCCTCTCTAGCACCGTCTTTTGCACACCTCGCCGGCTTGCTTCTTCATCTCCTAGTGTTACACTCTGAAAAATGTTCCTCAGTAATCCAAACAAACAAGCAAACAAGATATTATGTTCCCTAAAATGGGTTCACAGTCTAGCAACTTCAAAAAGGTGATGTAAAGGCTTTCTATCTTCTCAGAATTATAACCGATTTCAGTACATGGCCCATAAACTCTCCAACTTCTGCTTATTATATGAAGTATGAGGTTTGCTTTCTGTATTAGGAGTTAAGACAATTACCCAGTTGTAAATTGGTTAAGAAGCTTCACCTGTATACCACCTATAAGCATGTCAAGAGAAGGGTTCATTATCAAATTCTCTATTGTAACTCCATGAGCAGTTCCAACGAGCTGAATGCCTCGTTGAGCAATTGTACTTGCAGCCATTGCTTCTAGTTTGGTCCCAATCTCATCTATGACAATCACTTGGGGCATATGATTCTCGACAGCTTCTATTAGCACCTGAATTTTATACAAATCATTAACTTAGATAGCAACCCGAGTATTAATCAATAAAAAAAATGATGAACTAACGCATGAAGTACAGAGTGGAAGAAAAGATGGATAAATTGTCTTAAGTTACTCCATTTAGCAAGGTGAAACCTTATATGGAATACCATAATTACTCAGCATATGATGCTGATATGTTTTTGCTCCCTTCAATGCTTGATTAACCCAAAGCATACCTTATGTTGCATTTCAGAATTCCCGACCTGCATTCGCCGAGCATTTCCAATCCCCGAATGAGGTATATCACCATCCCCACCTATCTCATTTGAAGTGTCGACGATCATAACTCTTTTCTTATAATCATTTGCAAGCATTCGAGCAATTTCCCTGCATCGTTGGAAGTTTCAGAGCCCCGTATTTGGAGGAAAACGAGAAGATCATTTTGAGGAAAACAAGCAGCCAGTCCTTCACTAACAAGAATGAATGAGGGAGAACCTGATAATTGTAGTTTTCCCCACTCCAGGAGGCCCAATTAGAAGTATGGAGGCACCAGCCTGAACCAAATCTCCCAGCAAACTAGCACTTCCAGGAATCGCTCGACCAACACGACAAGTCAATCCAATAATTTCACCCTTGCGATTTCTTATGGCACTAATCCGGTGCAATGTTCTGCTGATGCCTGCTCGATTGTCAATGGCGAAGTCACCAACCTGCAACACATGAAGTTCAAAGTTCCTTTCTTTATCCCATACAATGATCACGAAAGATGCAACAAAAAGATAAGTTCAGTTGTTTCAACTTTCAAGATGCTACCAAAAGAAAGAACAATCCAAAACAAAGCGCAATTCATCAAACAAGTGGCGGGCTATAGAAAAGGGCACAGTCACCTGCGATGCAGCATACTCGAGATCCTGAAGCGTAATCGGAGAATCAGACAAAACGAAGTCCCCAGACGGAAACCTAGCGATCGGCGGGCGACCCAAATCCAACACCACCTCAACTAAGCCGTGGAACTCAGGGTGCTCGACAACTCGCGCTCTCATCTGTTCAGTCAACAGCGCTAGAAGGCGGTCCAGCTCCGCATCAAGCCCGCCCTCGTCATGAGAAGCAGAAGAAGACACACAATCACCGACGGCCCGCAGAAGGAACCCCGTACCGTTTTCGGCGATGTTCCCGCGGCCATTCGATTGATGGTGGGTAGAGAAACGTAGTGAGTTGGGTGGGGATTTGATAGCGAAACTTGAAGCTCGACGCGGCCGGAATTGGGGAGTGGGAGATGAGCAGTAGTATGGTTTGATGTGAATCGAAGAAGAAGTATGACAGATCATTTGGATTTTGGGGCGGATAGGAAGAAGATTGACTTTTTTCTTTTTGGCGCGGATATATGAAGAGAACTGTTCGTTCCTGACTTCCTCGGTTCAGAGTAAAAAACGGATAACGGGCGCTTCTTCTGTGTTGGCATTCTGTGAACAAGGCAAGGCCACCTTGGCGCGGAACCTCACCCAGCCACCTTTACTTTTGGTGTTCGTCTCAATATGAACGGTAATCGTAGCACGTAAAGAACGGACCAATTTGTAATTGTTCATCGCTAACTAGTTGCGACATTACTCATGTCATGCGATGCAACAAGACGCAACATAGTATGGTTCATCACTTGTTTGCAACTCGCAATTCGTAATCATTTCACTCAATTTTTAGGGCGCTAGGTCGCAATGTGGATTTTCTCTATACATGAACATACATTATTCTCCAGATAATCAATAGTCTTTAGGTAAACACATAAGTTCATACACTAAAAGTCCATACATATGTAGCTTAATCTGCCCCAAAATCACAGCGAGTAATGCGACTACAAGCGTCTCATATATATCACATCTCCGTCACAACATAATGTACCTCAAAGACCCATAAACGTCTGTCTTTTCAAGTTTACATAATAACATCCAACTCAAACAGGCAGAACCAAACTATCCATAAGTAGCTTTCAGTCAGTGATCCATTTCGCCTCCAGCGGACTCTACGACCAACCGAAGACATAATCAAGAACATAGACCAGTGCCAGTGAGAATGGGTAGAGCAGGAAGGCAATCGAAGCTGTCCAAAGAGGGAATGTGGTGCGGAAGCTAGCGAAGGCGCCCATCACAAGACACACGATGAGAATGACCAGCACCTCAGATGAGAAGTCCCAAACCAATCCTCTGATGTAAACAATTGCCAAGAACACCGACAGGCAGAGGACGTTATTCATGGTCACCGCGCCATATAACTGCAGAAGAAAACCAGCACGCATGAAGCTTAGAAACATTATAATGCAGATAATGTAAATGTAGTTAACACATTTTGACCCGGGACGCGTATGAGTATATTATGAGGATGGTAACATAGAAAAGAAACGTGGGGTTGCAGAGATACATACCTCGGAGAATGTCAAAGAGGCAGTTCTGAACTTCTTACGGGTGGCAAATATGATAGCTGAAACTGCTTCGCTGGAATTGGTGGCCAGAGGCAGAGCAATGAATGAGATGAAGAAGGTGGGGATACTCGTTGCGGCAGAAAAATTGTCAACAGCATCCACCAGCGGATCAGCAAATGCAGCTGCAATAGCTGTCCCCAACATCAACATCAACACCGCCTTAAAAGAGATCCACCTTGGATTCTCCACTTCTTCAATGACCTCATCACTCTGCTCGGTTTCTTCCCCTGCTCCCAGCAATGTATGCTCTTTCTTTGTTTGCTGTATATATATGATCATATTAAAAGGTCAGGATCACACCCAAACCGAATCAGACTGAATCAACTTTTGATTCCATGGATCCAGCTAAGAACAAAGAAAAAGGGCTGAATTGAGACGTGATCAGACTAAAATTGAATGCAGTTTTGTTCCGTTCCCTTGATCAATTCCGACTGATTCTGGGGTTGACCGGACCATGCACACTCTACTTGCAGTAATGCTTACCAAGTGATAATCGTTTATGAACTTCATTGTCCTAGGACCAGCATCAGGAGCAGTAATAGATCCAGCTCCTCGTTTTGCCTCATTAAGCCACTTGGTTACCCCATGAACAAACTCATTCTCGTCGATCCTCGCATCAAGTGATGAATCAAAGTCGCTCATTACTTTAGCCACAGCATCATCCCTATCGAAATTGATCTCGTCGAAAGTAATTCCTATGATCAATGCTTTCAGTTCGGATGCCGAGACATAATTATCTTTATCTACATCAACTGTTCCGAACAACCTGCATCAAGAAGCATTGCCAAAAAAGTTAGTTAAGCGATCTGGTGCTAAACTAAGCATCGGCTGATATGTGAAGGACTAACTTTCTTATGACTTCTCTGTCAGGTTCACCATCATCGTCCAAAAGCCTTCCCAGGGACCGTTGTTTCAAATGCTTCAAAATCCCAGATATCACATGTTTGTGCTTTGCAAAAGCCAGCCTTCTTCTCTGAACCCAAGGTTGAAAGACCTGTGTGACATTGCAAGATCCCAGAAACCAAAATCAGAAGCCATTGAAGCTAAGCAACGGTTAAGCACAACATGACATCTACTGCTACACGGTCTCTCTATCATGCCCAAATCCTACGATTTCAAAGAAGGCATCAAATCATGGCTGCTTAAAACCGAAGAATATAAGTTCCCTCATTTTATATGGGCCCTGTAAAGGTTGTAGCCAATTCAGGACAATGAAGCTATAACTATATAGAAGAATAAGCAACAAGATACACATTCTCTTCAGTTCTTTTGAAGAGTTATTCAACAACAGTCTTCCTGATGAGACCGCATGACAAAATACTATGTCTAAAGCTTAATAACAGGGAAGAGAAGCATTACCTGGTAGAGACAATACGAAATGAACATCGAAACAGATACAGCAAGTCCAATCAAGACAGCCACCTGCCTTCCAGCAGTTGAATGAATCATTTGCGGGAACTGAACGATAACGAATGGAATAACAGATATAGCCATTATCCTGGCAGCATAGCAAGTCCAGATATCAGTACTGACACCACTACCTGCAAACATAAGCCACCGTCCTTGCATCAGATTTTGATATGATATGTAAGATTATCCAAACTATAGCACCAACTAATCCCTACTGAACTCTTCCTACAAACAATTCAACTGCCAGCAGGCATCAAGCCCCAACCCTAAATGGAACCGGATATACACAGCGGCACGAAACAAGATCTCGCCTTTCAAAAGTTAATCAATCAATAAGCACAAGAAATGAACGTCCTAAGGCATAGAGACAGAAGAACCTCTACCGATGGCTAAAAACTGATGATGCAACCAGCAAAATTGAACAAGATAATCATTTGAAACCTTACTAGTTAAGTGCATCCCTTTGGTGTCCTGGCCATCAATAGCGATAGAATCCGTCTCCCTGATATCACATTTGCCAACAAGAATGCAAGTCCCCCAGATCAAAGTAAGCAGCATGACAGTCGACCCAGCCAGCAACCCCATCCCAACGGAGACTTGACTCTGAGCAGTCTCAACACTCCCCGAAAGCCCGGACACTAGAAATCACCGCCACCAAAGCACAACCAAATTGAAATGAGGAAAAAAAAGAGTTCAATTTATCAGAAATGGAGGATTTCTCGGCCCTATAGATTTCAATCCGACTTACCCATGATGAGCATAGCATCAGGGAGCGCGCCGAGAGCAGGGAGGAAGAGACCCCCGACGATCCCAGGCCCCAGAATCTCGAGCAAGAGCTCACTGCCGCTGGACAAGTAAGTTGCGGCGAGGAACATGAGGTAGCCATAGACGATAATCAAGAACATGTTTCCTAGGGCTGTGGTCGTGCAGGGCATGAAGCCATAGGATTGCTCGCACGACTCGGTCTCCGGCTCCTCCGACGAGTTGAGGAGGAGATGATAGTAAGAGTTCGTACGGTTCTGGATGCCGTCGTGAATGCCATCAGAGACCAGATCGGAAGACGGGTTGGAAATGGAGGAGGAGAGGAATCGGGAGTGAACGGCGGTGATGGCGAGGAAGAGGAGGAGGCAGAGGAATTGGGGTCTGACAGCTGGAACCGCCATGGGAGGTTTATGGGTTTGTAAGCTAGTGGGGAGCGGTAGTAGAAGGAGCTGACATGGGGAGACAAAGGGAGCGGGGGATCTGGGAATGAAGGAGGGAAGATTGGGATAAGAGCGGAGAGGGATATTTATGAGTGAGTGGAGGGAGGAAGAAGGAAAGGGTATATGGGTTTTTTGGGGATTGGGGAAGTGAATGGATGGATTTCAACGGAAAGCGAAATATAAAGAAACTCGATTGGAAGAAGGCGAGACACCGAGGCAGTTCACAGAGCGACTGAGTCAGACATAGCCGTGGCTCTTCCGAGTTGGGGACGCGGCCGCGGAGAGGGAGAGATGGAAATGGACAGGGTGCTGATCTGCTGATGCCAAGTCCACCTATATATCATTATTAAATTAAATAAATTCGGTTCGGTTATAGTTTATGGCTATGGGTGCCGACTTCATTTCATGGTCGTTGATTTATTATTATGATTTTATGGGCATGGCCCATGGGCCATGAGTCATTGATTTGGTTGGTGTGGACAGGGCGGTCATTGATTTATTAATTATGATTTTCTTATGGTCATTGGCCCATGGGCCATTGATTTGGTTGGTGTGGGCAGGGGATGATGTCAAAAAAATTAATCTATTGATTTTCTTATAATAATCTAATGGTTAATTAACATTGAAACTAGGTTGCTAGTGGTTTTGTCCAATTGACTGAACCTGTTGAATGTCGTAGTCACCTCACTATGCTTACTAGGTCTCGTCAGTCATTAGTAGCTTGTTCGACAACTTTGATAACCCTGAAGAATACGTTTTTTCAAATATTATATCGATATAAGAAGTTAAAATGATATTATTTTCATTTTAGAATATATATCTAGAAAGAAGTTAAACGGAATTTCAACAGGGTTTACTAACCTATAAAGTATCAAACCCACGCAATATTATCCTATAAATAGCAATTTATTGGCTCTTTCATTGCTTATTCGTGGTCATCCAAAGGTAGTACTAACATTACAGGGAAAAGGTACATTTTAGCTTTCATGATCGTATAGGTTTGTTGCATTATCAACAGGACACATCTAATTATAAAAACTAATTGATATACTTGTGGTCGGTAGAGAGTGGCTCATCTCAATGAAGTCACTTAGATTGATCATGTTCCCCCAAATTTTTATGCAATTTCCTCTGAGCTGCTTCTTGACTGATTTCTTAATGAAAACTTTATCACATATTCCTAAAAAATATGAGTATGACACATATATTGGTTAATGGTTGTTGACATTGTTGTCTACTGCGATGGACATTGTTCAATTCATTTCACAATGAAAATTAATGAATCGAAATTTTATAATGACTGATTAGCCTCACATCGATAATATGTTATAAAATAATCACTTAAAATACGAATATATGAACACTCGAGAAAAAGGAACAACTTTAAATCTTCA